AAACCATGAGATCATGACCTGAGCCGAAGTCAGACTCTTAACCGACTGAGCCCCCCAGACACCCCTAAAAGGGCACATTTGGAGGCACCTGGCTGGCTCAGTCGGTAGAGCGTGTGACTCTTGATCTTGAGGTCGTGAGTCTGAGCTCTACATTGGAGGTAGAGATTACTAAAAAAAAATAATAAACTTAAAAAAAATTAAACGAACGGCAAATTTTATGGGATGTGAATCGCATGTTGATAAAACATAAAAAATGAAAGTCCTAAATAGTAATAAATCATAACTTTCTAATTATTCTCCAATACTTTACTATAATCCGTACCTTTGAAGCCACGTCTGGCTGTCGTTTGTGTTTGGGGGAAAAGGGGAGCGTCTCTTCCCAGCTCCCACATTCGCTGACGTCAAGTTGGAAGCTTGCAACTGGCCAGGGTGGGAACATTTACACCATGGAAACGGGCCACTACCACAAATCAGGGTGTGGTTTATTGTCCTGTTGGCTGTCTAGACCCGGGGTTGGCAAACTTTCTCTACAAAGGGCCCAATAGTAAATATTTTCGGCTTTTTAGGCCATACAGTCGCTGTCCCATCTATTCGAGGCTGCCATGATGGCGTGAAGACAGCCACAGAGAGTATGGAAACAAATGGCTGTGCTGTGTGCCAATAAAACTTTATTTACAAAAACAGGCAGGGGGCCATGGTTTGCCACCTCCTGCTCCAACTCAAGAAAGTGATGAAGAAAATATTAGTAAGGAAAATTAAACTTAAGAAAGTGTCACATGTGCAGCTGTGTCCTTGTAAATAGCAACCCTCTAACCAAAAAACTGCGGTTGGATTCCACCAGGAAGTTGCTCTCCTTGCGGATGGGCACTGGAGTCTCATTCCCCGTTTCACGTTTGTCTGGCTTGTTCGCGTAAAGGCAGATGTCGGATGCCATCCGTGCCAGAACGGCACGCGTTTGCCAATCACATCCATAGTTTGGCGAAACCCGTCGCGCGGATTTTGTGAGAACGGACGGGAGTGTACTTTTTTCTGTTTTTGCAAATCACGGGGCGCACATCCTTCGTAGCGGGATAAACAGGTGTGAACTGCATTCTTTTCTGGAAAGCTGGCAGTTAAGAATTTTTCACGGGTCGAATGGGAGGTGACACGGGGCACCTGCGGGGCAGCGAGGACCCCGGAAAGTTGGGTTTCCTGCCCTGGGGCATCCCTGCCCCCCCCCCAGATCCCCATCCTCCCCAGGCCCAGGTCGCAGAACCAGAAACGTGTGGGCTGAGGGGCCACCCTAGTGGGCCCGTGTCCTGGGAATGTGCGGGTGGGCTGCAGTGAGCTCAGGCTGGATGGGGGAGGGCCAGAAGCCCCCCCACCCCCACTGCCCGGGGCCCCCCACCTAACAGGGCCTGGGCAGCTTTTCAGCATCATTTCCCACGAGCGTTATCTGTGCCTCGGTTTACGTTCAGTAATCGATTAGTCATCGGATAGTCGTGAGTTGAGGAGCCAGTGGCCTGCCTGGCCCGGTGCTTGGACCCCACCCGGACATTTCCTGCCTTGGCCTCAAGCCTGGCGAGGACGCCTAAGCCAGGAGTCAATAGGCAGGTGTGACGAACGGTCACGAATAAACGGGGTGAGATGGGGGAGACCAGGAAGTGGATGGTTTGCGATGTCGGGGAGAGCCTCTGGGAGCATGGGGTCCCCTTTGCTGAGCGCGCCCCCTACCCCCCACCCCAGGGGCACCGCACATGCGGGGACAGTGAGATGGGTGAGGCCGGAGCCGGCTGAGCGACGGGGACACTGGTGGATGGCGTCGTGGCTGGAACGGGGGAGAGGCTGGCTGGGCTCCTGCGTTTGGGAACTGAGGGGATTAGAGAGAATGGGGTCCCCGGGGGGAATGGGGTGTGCCCTCGACCTGTCCAGGGAGGCTCTGCCCCCGGCCTCTGCCTCTCTAGGTAAAGGAGGCTAGGGCAGCCCATAGGTTCAAGGTCAGCAGCCGTGGTCAGCTTGTAGGGCATTTGGAGTGTCCAAACTGAGGACCAGGACAAAGTTTGGGGTCCAAAAGACAAAGCGGGCTTAGCAGAGGAGGACTGGGCTCTAGGGTTCTGGGGAAGAATGTGGGGGCAGGGCAAAGGTCAACAGAGCCAAGGACTCTGTACCTAGACACCCATTTCATAGGAAAGCTGTGCCCAAGGGCAGGGGGCCTGTCTGGAGTCCCAGCGTGGAGGTGTCCGGGCTGCGGAAGGACCTGGACAGTGGCCTTCACTCTCCTCGCTGCTCCTCTAACACAGCAGGCACAGTCCTGCCCCAGGGCCTTTGCACCAGCTGTTTCCGCTGCCTGGCTCACCTTTCCCCCAGACCTTGTCCTTCCAGGTCCCAGCTCCGGCAGCTCCACCTCAAGAGAGGCTTTCCTGACCACCCTGGCCAAGGTCACCTGCTGTCCCTGGCTGTCTCCACCCCCCTTGGCCCTTATCTCACTCTGAAATTATCCTGTTTGTGTTCGCTGGTTTCTGGTGTCTCCTCCTTCCGGCGAAGGAGATGCCTCTTAGGGGCCATTTTGGAAATTTGGAAGGCTTTCTTCTCGCATCTGATGAAAACAGGATGTTCTGGGATTGGGGGGCAGGGACCAGAGGCACCGGGCATCCAGCCACGTGCCTGCGGCAGCCCCGGGCCCCCACAGCTTCCTAATGTTCTGCTTAAAACATAAACCACTGAGTGGGGTTTTGCACAGTTTTATTTTCTTTTTAACTTAAAAATTTTTTTTAAGCTTATTTCTTTTGAGAGCGAGAGAGCGAGAGTGAGAGAACTTAAGTGGGGGAGGGACAGAGAGAGGAGAGAGACAGAATCCCAAGCAGGCTCCGCACCATCAGCACAGAGCCGGATGCGGGGCTCGAACAACCAAACTGTGAGATCAGGACCTGAGCTGAGATCAAGAGTTGGAGGCTTCATCAACTGCGCCACCCGGTGCCCCTAAAAATAATTTTTGTGAGAGAGAGAGGGCGAGAGCTGGAGCCGGGGAGAGAGGCAGAGGGAGAGGGAGGATCTTTAGCTCAGCAAAGAGCCGGACATGGGGCTCGATCCCACCACCCTGGGGTCATGACCTGAGCTGAAATCAAGAGTCAGTCGCTCCACTGACTGAGCCACCCAGGCGCCCCTGCACAGTTTTAATATTGAGGGACTGGTCCCAAAATGCAGCCCTGGGGTAAACTGAGAGAAAGGTGGGTGCCTCTCTCTCTCTATATATATTTATTTACATACACCTTAGTCAGCATACAGCACAATCATGGTTTCAGGAGTAGATCCCAGTGATTCATTCCCTCCAGGTAACCCCCAGGGCTCATCGCAAGTGTCCTCCTCAGTGCCCCTTGCCCAGTAACCCCCCCCCAGCCCCTCCAGTAACCCCCAGTTTGTTCTCTGTATTTAAGAGCCTCTTTTGTCCCCCTCCCTGTTTATTTATTTTTTTTTTATATTTTTATTTATTTCTAGGAGAGAGAAAAGGGACAGCGTGAGCAGGGGCGGGTCAGAGAGAGAGGGAGTCACAGACTGAAACAGGCTCCAGGCTCCGAGCTGGCAGTCAGCACAGAGCCTGACGCGGGGCCCGAACCCACGAACCACCAGATCATGACCTAAGCGAAAGTTGGACGCTTAACCAACTAAGCCACCCAGGCGCCCCTCCCCCTCCCTGTTTTTATCTTATTTTTGCTTCCCTTATGTTCATCTGTTTTGTATTTTAAAGTCCTCATATGAGTGAAGTCCTATGATATTTGTCGTTCTCTGACTCACTCATTTCGCTTAGCGTGATACCTTCCAGTTCCATCCACGTTGTTGCAAATGCTTTTTCACTGCCGAGTAATATTCCATTGTATGTACACACCACCTCTCCTTCATCCATTTATCCATCGCTGGGCATCTGGGCTCTTCCCGTCCTGTGGCTCTTTGTCGATAGCGCTGCTGTGAACACTGGGGTGCGTGCGCCCCTTCGAACCAGCGCACCTGTATCCCCTGGATAAATACCTAGCAGTGTGGTTGCTGGGTCGTAGGGTAGTTGTATTTTTAATTTTTTTCTCTCTCTTTTTAAAAAATTTTTAATGATTCATTTATTTCTGAGTGAGAGGAAGACAGCATGAGCAGGGGAGGGTCAGAGAGGGAGGGAGACATAGAATCTGAATCAGCTCCAGGCTCTGAGCTGTCAGCACAGAGCCCGACGTGGGGCCTGAACTCACGAACTGTGAGATCATGACCTGAGTCGAAGTCGGATGCTCAACCCACTGAGCAAGGTAATAACATAGATGATTTCCTTTATTTTATTCATTGTTTCCTTTTCCAAACCAAGAGTTGGATGCTTAACCGACGGAGCCCCCCAGGCGCCCCTCGAAGAGGGAATTCTCCCTGATCAACCATGTATCAGTGGCGCCCCCATGTGCCCGGCAAGGTGGGCGCGATTTACAAATCTCAGCTTGTGCATTCCTTCTGTTTGTTTGTACCGCCATATGGGCCAAATCCTGATTTTTAATCCTTATAAATTTATTTAACATTTAAAAAATGAGGGGCGCCTGGGGGGCTCAGTCGGTTAAGCGTCCGACTTTGGCTCAGGTCATGATCTCACGGTTCGTGGGTTCGAGCCCCGCGTCGGGCTCTGTGCTGACAGCCCAGAGCCTGGAGCTGCTTCGGATTCTGTGTCTCCCTCTCTCTCTGCCCCTCCCCCACTCAGTCTCCATCTCTCAAAATAAAATAAAGACATAAAACCAAACAAAAAAAAAACATTTAATAAACGAGGCATAAAATGTATACAGGAAGGGGCACAGAGATGTAAAGTATATACACTTTATGTATATATTTAGTAAGTGTTCGGCTTAAGGAGACGTAACCCATCTATCATAAAATTCACTAAAGTGTTCACCTTCCAGAATATTCCGTCTCCCCAAAATGAAGCCTGTCCCCATCATCCCCACCCCCTCCCCCAGCCTCAGTCCCCATAGCCCCTTCCCCTCCGTGAAGGAGCCTGTGCTGGACGTGTCACGCACGTGGACTCACACCCGCGTGGCCTCCCGTGTCTGGTTGCCTCCCTGAGCGTCGTGTGTTCAGGGTCCTTCCGCGGGGCGGCGGCGGTGGGCGCCTCGCTGCTGCTCGCGGCCGAGGGATATGCGCGTGCGCGGCGGATGCACCTGAGGGACGTGCGCGTGCGCGGCGGACGCACCTGAGGGACGTGCGCGTGCGCGGTGGACACTGTTTGGCCCTTCCCCCGCTGACCGACGCTTGGGTGGACTCTGGCCGTGTGACCGCGCTGCCGTGCACAGGCGCGTGCAAGCTTCTGCGGGGACGTGTGCTCTGGGGTCCTTTGGGCAGACGCCCGGGAGCGGAATTGCTGGGTCACGTGTGAGTCTGCGTGTCTGCGGAAACCCGGCTTTCCCGGCAGCTGTCCGCGCGCTGCGGTGTCGCCACACCCTTGCTGACACTTGCTCTGTGTCCGTCGGTTTGACAGCAGCCATCCCAGCCCGGAGGTGGCTGCGGGGGGCGGAGTAGGTGAAGTCGTGGTTTTCCTAGTGGCCAGTGGTGTGGAGAAACTTTTCAGCCGCTCCTTGACCCATTTATGGATCTTTGGAGAAAGACTAGAGGTGTGTGGTGTGTGTGTGTGTGTGTATGTGTGTGTGGTTGTTGTTGTTTTAATGGAGATACAATTCACGTAGGATAAAGTGTACCCTTTCAAAGTGTACAGTTTGCTGGGTTTTAACATAACCACAGACTCCTGCAACAATGAATCTTAATGGCTTTTTACACCTGTCTGAACATTGTATACAAAACATGGGATGTTCCAGACCCCTTCGCCGAGCAGTCTGCCTCAGACTATACCACCTTTATCACCATCTATTTAATATATTTATTGATTTTTAAAAGATTTTGTTGTTAAGTAATCTCTACACCCAGGGTGGGGCTCAAACTCATGACCCCAGGATCAAGAGTCCCTTGCTTTACCGACTGAGCCAGCGGGGTGCTCCCCAAATTATTTTGCTAATGTCGCGGTGGCCTGCCTCTAGAAGGCTGGAATCCCCCAGAAGGCAGGGACAGGTCTCTTTTGGTCTTTTCAGTGTCCCCAGGGCGTGAGACACGGTTGGTGCTGCATAAATGCTCACAGAGTGACTGAGTGAATGTTCCAGCCACGCCCTTGATGCTTTAGCAGAGGCTTTTTCAGCTTTGAGGAGAGCGAGGTGCTCTGGCATTTGGCGGGCGGGGACCAGGGACATTGACCGTCTGGTCCCCAAGCCCCTCTGCAGTTCCTGGGAAGGCGTCGCCCGCGGAAGGCTGCCGTGGCCCAGCCTGGCCGCCTCCTGGCTTGCCCGCCCTCGGACCTGGGTGAGTGTGCACAGGAAGGAAGGAAGGCCGGGGTTTATTTTCGACCGTGGCCCGCTCCCCCGGGACAGCAGTCATCTCCCTGTCTGGCTGCTTGGATGGGAGTTCCTGGCAGAACAATGAGTTCGGGAGGCGGGGGGCCACGCAGCTGGGCTGGCCCAGGTGTCAGCAGGTCTGGGGACTGTCTGGGGACTGGAGGCCGGCAGGGAGGCCCCCTTTTCCTTCTGGGCTTCGGAGGGCGGGCCTGCTGAGGGCCCAGCTCCCGTCCTGCACCAGCACATTCCGCCTTGGGATTTGGCAGACCGGCAAGCCAAGGCCCAGAGACGGATGGAACGCTCCCAAGGGTCACACAGCGACTGAGATAGGCCACAAGACCAGGGCTCCAGGGCATTTAGGGTCCAGGTACCTGGGCCCAGGGAATGGCCTTTTCCTGTCTGAGCCTCAGTTTGTTCACCTCTAAGCTGGGGAGACCAGACCCGGGACCTTGGGGTTCCTTCTCGTTTCTGCTTGTGGACATCCTTTCCCCCATGCGTTCAACAAACACTTACGAGGTGCCCACTGTGTACCAGGCCCCGGGCTGAGTGCCGGAGGCAGGTGTGAACAGGAAGACCCAGTCCCTGCCCGCACCATCAGGCCAGGGAGATGAACAGTGAAACCAAAGTGTGCAAGCCAAAATGGTGCCCGCCAGGCACCTGGCCCAGCCTGGGACATCCAGGAAGCCTTCCAGGAGGAGGTGACAGTGGCACTGAGATTTGGATGAGCAGTTTACAGGATGAGTAATAGGGAGAGGAGGAGCCCCAGTAGAGGGAATAGGATAGAACATTCTAGAGAAACTGGTGGGAAGGCATCTGGGAGGCACAGGCACCCCTTGTGCCAAGCAGCTGGCCTCAAGTTTGCTGCTTTTTTTCTAGAGAGCCTCACAGAGAAGTAGGTCTGTGTGTTCGGGGAGCTTGAAATGGCAGAATTCTAGGCCATGGCATCCGGCGTCTTGCCTAAGAGAAGCTCGTAGCCTGGGGGGGGGGGGGGGCGGATTTCAGGATGGGCTCCAAACTGTGGGCTCCCTAGGACAGAGCTGGTTCTATCTTCCCCATTTTACAGATGGGGAAACTGAGACATGGAGCGTTTTATTTTGTTGTTGTTGCTTGGCTGAGTGGTCAGGCCTGGGAGCAGGCCCTAAACCTGGGGGCTGGATTTGTCACTGAAACAGCTCCCAGGCCCCCAAAACTCAGGGTGACTTGCAGGCACCAAGCAGGGAAGGTGGAGGGAGTTAGGCGCCCAGGAGGCAGGGGGTCGAGTGTAGTGCTGTGTGGCCTCGGGAAAGTGGCTCAGCCTCTCTGAGCCTGTGTAAGTTCTTCAAACTGGCAGCCAGCCTAACACGTGGCGGATATGATGAAACGGTCACACGCTGCCGGCTCGGGGCCTGCCACGTGGTGCTGTGTCAGGCGCACCCCTGCTCTGGCCCAGGCCCGCAGAGCCCCGGGCGCTGGTGACTGGTGTGGGGGCAGGGAAGGCAGCCCTGTAATCCCCGTGGCCACCCTGACCTCTGAGGGCAGGCGAGAGGGCAGCGCAGGAGGAGGGGACTTCTTTCGGGGTGTGAGCTCGCACAAAGGTGGCCTTTGTGGGGGCTCTCTGGGCCGAGTGGGCACCCGCATGGCATTCCTGGTCCGCCTGGCCCGGGGCTGGGATGGGGGTGGCTTCCACCAGCGCCTGGGGCAGTGGGTGAGGGCGACGGTGGGTCTCAGTCTCGCCTCATTCATTTTTCTGGTGGCGCCAAGGACGCCCAGGTGAGGACTCGGGCCCCTGCCCTCCCCCATGGGCTGCGGGTGGAGCCCGGGGCGGGGGCGGAGCAGTGATGGGGGGGACGCCAGGGGCACAGTGTGGCCCAGAGGACGCGCCTCACCATCAGTTCGGTTCTTCAGGGACGGCTTCCTGGGGGAGGTAGTACCCAAGCTGAGCCGAGGGATGGAACTTCGAGAAGAGGCAGGGGGCTCAGGGGCCAGGGCTTTGGGGGGTGAATAGGAGTTTCCCGGCAACGACGCAGGGATCTGAATGAGGTGTGGGGCTTGGTGGGGACCTGGCCCTCCGAACAAAAAGGGTGATGCGCAGATGGGCCGCTTGGGAGGGTTTCTGGCGCTCTAGGAAGGCGGTGGCTGGAGCGAGGCTCTGGAGCTCGGGGAACCCAGGAGGGTGATGTGGGTGGCCACTCCCCGTGGCCGCCGTCCCAGCCCAGGAAGGGTGCGAGCTGCCACCAGTCAGTATTTGAAGATCAGGGGTGTCCTGGGAGCAGTGTTTCTAGAAACCTCACTCGTGACCCCTGGGCCCCAGAGCCGAGGATGCCGCCCACGCCAGAGGCGGCCCTTGGGCTGGTTGGGGGGGGGGGGTGTCTGCCACAAACACTCGGCGGGGGGCGGGGGGGGGGGAGTCAGGCTGCAGGATTGTTAACACCTGCGCTCATCCACCCTGAACAGCCCAGGGCCTGGGACCCCATCTCACTGCACGGCGGTGGGGGGGGGTCGGGGGGAACGCCCACCTGGATTCGGGGGCACCGAATCCCTCTGATAACCCACCGAGAGGCCCCCTTAGCCCACAGCAAGGCTGCGGCGGGTCTGGGGGCTGGGGCCCCGCACGCAGTGGACTTCAGAACCTCCGGCCCAGGTGTCACCATTATGCAGCAACTCTTTTGAGTTAACCCCCTCCTTCCTTCGTTAAAGAAACAATTCCCTTAGACCCCTTAGGTCCCTTGGGTCACCGTCTTTTCAGCGTGACAGCTGTCTTCTCCCAAGCCTGCCTTCCCGTGTCCTGCCCTGTGTGTTCTGTGCTCCTGCCACTCAGCTCCCCTGCTCTCGGGGCGCCTGGCTGGCTCAGGTCACAGAGCACGCGACTCTTGGTTTTGTTTTTGTTTTTTTTAGAGAGAGAGAGAGAATGAGAATCTTAAGCAGGCTCCACGTTCAGGACGGAGCCTCATGTGGGGCTCGATCCCACAACGCTGACATCATGAGCTGATCGCTCAACCAACTGTGCCGCCCAGGTGCCCTGAGGATGCGACTCTGGAATTCAGAGGCTTGAGTTCAAACCTCACCTTGGGCACAGAACTTACTTAAAAGAAAAATGGGTGCCTAGGTGGCTCAGTCGGTGAAGCGTCCACTTTCGGCTTGGGTCATGATCTCACGGCTTGTGAGTTCGAGCCCCAGCCTGCTTCTGATTCTGTGTCTCCCTCTCTCTCTTTGTCCCTCCCCTGCTCACGCTCTGTCTCTCTCTCCCTCAAAATAAATACAGATTAAAAAAAATAAAAAGAGGGGCGCCTGGGTGGCTTAGTCGGTTAAGCGTCCGACTTTCGCTTAGGTCATGATCTTGCGGTTCGTGGGTTCGAGCCCCGCGTCAGGCTCTGTGCTGACTGCCAGCTCAGAGCCTGGAGCCTGTTTCAGAGTGTGTGACTCCCTCTCTCTCTGACCCTCTCTCGCTCACGCTGTCTCTCTCTCTCTTTCTCTCCTAGAAATAAAAATTAAATAAATAAATAAATAAATAAATAAATAAATAAAAAGAAAACAAAGCGTCCCTCTTCTAGGCCGTGAAGATCTGTCCGCCTGGGAAGTGCCCCTCCGCCCAACTTCTCACCTGCGTCCCTTCCGCCAGGCCTGCCTGTGCCCCAGGCTACGGGATCATGTGGCGCCTGATCATACCTGCCATGCCCCGCCCTGCGCCCTGCCCTGGCACCCAGTCGTGTGTCTCCCAGCGGGTCTGTGGACTGGCCCGCTCTCGGCCAAAGGGCTCCCTTGGGGCCATGCACCCACTTCACAGATTGGGATGACACGGTAGCAAATGACAGTGGCCCTCCAGGAAGGGCCCTGAAGTCCGGGGGGCCGTGGGCACTGACCACCCTTTGCCTCTCCTCCCGCAGGGCAGATGGACGCCTTCAGCACCAGGAGCCTGGCCCTGCAGGCGCAGAGGAAGCTGCTGAGCAAGGTGGCGTCCAAGGCCACGGTGGCCGTCTTCATCGACGACACGAGCAGCGAGGTGCTGGACGAGCTGTACCGCGCCACCAAGGAGTTCACCCGCAGCCGCAAGGAGGCCCAGAGGGTGGTCAAGAACCTGGTCAAGGTGGCCGTGAAGCTGGCTGTGCTGCTGCGCGGCGGCCAGCTGGGCAGCGAGGAGCTGGCACTGCTGCAGCGCTTCCGCCAGGGGGCGCGCCGCCTCGCCATGACGGCCGTCAGCTTCCACCAGGTGGACTTCACCTTCGACCGGCGCGTGCTGGCCGCCGCCCTGCACGAGTGCCGGGACCTGCTGCACCAGGCCGTGGGCGCGCACCTGACCGCCAAGTCCCACGGCCGCATCAACCACGTCTTCGGCCACCTGGCCGACTGCGACTTCCTGGCCGCGCTCTACGGCCCCAGCGAGCCCTACTGCTCGCACCTGCGCCGGATCTGCGAGGGCCTCACCCGCATGCTGGACGAGGGCAGCATATGACCTCTGGCTCTGGGGCTCCTGTGGGGGTGCAGGGGGGGTTCTGGAACCTCTTTTCTCCTGCCCTGTTCTGGCCAAATCCCCGGGACAGGTGCCCATCCCCGAGAGAACGTAGCCCGTCGGAGGCTGCGGTTTTCAGGACCCTTGTTGCCTCCCTTCCCGCAGCGCCTCGACAGGAGAAGGGCTCAGCCTGGTGGGGCGCGGCCTCCCCAGCACCCCGAGACTGCTGCCCACCCAGGCCCGCCTGACCTGACCCGACCCCCAGCACCCCTACGCTCACTTGATGCCTCTGAAGGCTGGCACTTGCCACCTGATGATGTTAACCATGTTGCCTGTTCCTTCCGACAGGGTCACGGTGAACCAGAAGGGAGGGAGTGTTCCGGGCTGAGCTGCAGCTCCCCGAATTCTCTGGTTGAAGCTCTAGCGCCCCTCCCCCCCACCCGTTGATGCGACCTTGTGTGGAAACAGGGTCCTTGCAGATGGAATCGGTTAAGATGAGGTCACACTGGAGTGGGGTGGGCCCCTGATCCGGCATGACTGGCGTCCTTGTAAGAAGGGGACATTTGGACAGGGAAGAGGGCCGTGTGCAGATGGGGCGGATGCTGATGGCCGTGTCTATGAGCCAGGCTCCCCCAGGATCGCCAGCCACCTCCAGAGCTGGGACAGCCGCCTGGACAGCCGTGGGAAGGAACCAGCCCAAGGGACGCCTTGATTGACTTCCAGCCCCCGGGCCTAAGAGGGGGCAGATTTCTGCTCTCGCCCTGGGGAACGAGCGCGGGGAGCCAGGGAAAGCGCTGGGCGGGGAAGCCTCCCTTTGGTTGGCACCGCTGCCCTGCCTCCCACGTGGGAGGGGACAGACGGAGCCCCCCGCTCGGGGCTCGAGGGGAAAGCCTTCGGAGATGCACGCCTGTTTAAAAATGATGATTTCGTTTGGGTTTGGTAGGAGACGAAGGGCTGTTTGTACAAGATCTTCAAAAGCAAAACTCTGCACTTTGGCTTTGGCGACGCCCCCAGAAGAGGCCCCATCGCGGCCCAGGTGGACACGTGGGCTGGGGGGCGGGTCTGTGATTCCTGCGAGTCAGGAGGGGACACGCGGTTAACAGGCCGCGTCAGGGCTGGGAGGGAGGCTCTGGGCACCGCAGGGGACGGGGAAAATGACGTTCTGTGACGTGTTTGCAGAGTTGGGTCAGTGGGCAAAGCCTTGGCACAAGTGGCCTGCAGGCCTTTGTAGGCGAGAAGATAGGTTTGGTTGGCATTAGTTAAAAACAAGGACAGTGCATTGCACGTACCAATGTAGTTTTGGAGTTTTTCTCGAAAACTTGGCCTGAGCCTGCACCGCCCGGGGTGAGGCCTCAGGGCGCTGCCCCGCCCCCCCCACCCCCCCACCCCCGGTCTCCCACGGTCCCCACCGCGCCGTCTCCCCTCCCTGACCTGCTGCGCCGGCCCACAAAGACGTTCCGTCCCCAGATGCAGGGCGGCCTTTCTGTAGTTTGGTTTCCGCTTCCCTGAAAAAGCCGAGAGCCAGCTGTGCCCCAGCCCCCGAAGGCCAGCCCGCCCCCCACCTTCCGTCAAGAGACAGTTCACGTTCAGGCCGAAAGTGCGTCTGAGGAGCCAAGAAGCCCCCGATGAAAGCCCGTGTCCTGCTGGGCCGTCCGGCCCGTCTGCCTCTCTCCCTAAATTTGAGATTTAATTTTGGAAAAGCTCAGGAGCACCTCAGAGGCCCTGGAATAAAAGCACCCATTTTCTGTGGGCATTCTGGGCGACTGGCGATCACCCCGCCGGTGCCGCCAGCTGCCTCCCGGCCTCCCGGGGCTCGGGCCTTTCGCCTTTCAGATCGAGCTCGCGTGTAACGTCACACGGCCGTGGGCCTCGCGGACAGGTTCCGTTCCCGCTCCACCGGGTGCCAGGCTGGCCCGTGTGCGGCCCCCGCTGGGTTCGTTCAGCCCATCACGACCACAGCCACCGGGCCGGCGTGGCTTCCTTTCCCGGTTTGCATGGAAGCCACACACGGATGTGTGCGCGTGGCTGGTGGGGGCGGCGAGGAGCTGGTTTGTGTCCAGGTGTCCTGCCGTGTCCGGGGCGCTGCTTCCTTGACCCCCGGGGATTCAGACGTGGCCTGTGGTCCCGGGGTGACCGTGGGAGCACCCGTCCCTCCTGCCAGGGTCCGGCTGCGGCCGTGTTTCTGCAGGTGGCCACCCACCTCTGGGTTCCTGTTGAGGTTCACTTGGGTTTTCAGTCCATCGAGCCTCAAAGCCAGGAGCGGCAGAGGCCCCCAGCCCTCGCTGGGGTCCCTGTGACACCCGCAGGTCCCCGTGCTCACCAGACCTCCAAGCCCATCGTTCCTGGGCCAAGTGAGGCCCCAGACGACCCCCTTTGTGATCTGCTCTGCAAACAGCTGTTGTCCGTGCTCCTCACGCAGGCGCCTGCGGCGGGTGCGGACAGGGGGACGGTCCTACCCCAGCACCCGCCTCTTCTCTGGCAGGTGGGGTCCCCGCAGTGCCCAGGTCGGCACGAGGGAGGTGGGAGGGGAGGACGGCCGATGGTGGTCCTCGTTCACAAGGACTCCTGACACGCAGCCCGGCCGACCCAGGCCCAGAGCCTCGCGGTTTCTCCTCCCCTGGTCGGCTCCCGAGACGCCGTCAGAGCGGGCTGAGGGGCAACGTGGGGGCACACTCCCAGGCCCGCCGCAGGGACACCGGGCGGCTGGGGCACTTGGGGGCCTATTTATGTCCCCCTGGGCGTTTGTTGCTGGTGGCGTCGTAGGCCGCTGCCACCATCCACAGGACTAGCTGAGCCACCACCCCGGAGCGCTGACCCCCCTCCGCCACATGCGGCCAGGCCTGCGCAGGGGCTGGGGGTCCAGGAGCAGAGTCATGGCCGAGCACCCTGTGCCTGGGCCCCCAGCCCGGAGCCCCCGGACAGGCAGGCCCCAGTCGCCAAGTCTGTGCGCTTGCTCTCCAATCGCCTTATTTATTTAAATATGAAAGAACATTCCATTTCCTCCCCGGAGTCTGGTAGAAGGTCCCTGGGAAACTGTAAGAAGGCGTCTGGGCAGGCAGCAGGGCAGCAGGAGCCTCTCCCGGGGAGCGACCTGGCCTGGTCCACGGAGACGCGCGCTGGCCCCGGAACGGCCAGGAGTCCCCTGGGGTCCCTGTCGCGTGCCCCAGCGCCTCTTTCAGCAAGACAGATGGGCAGTGGGGCTCAGACCCACGCCCCATGTTCAGAGGACATCAACCGTCCGCCCCCCTGGGAGACGGGGAAGGTGCCAGCTCTCCCAGGGCGCAGTCCTCCGCGGGGATGGGGAGGAGCCACCCTCGGTGGGGCTCGCGGTCACAGCTCGCTGCGGGACGCCTTGGCCACGATCACCAGCTTGGACAGCTCGGCCTTGAACGCCCCCGGCCGGTGGGAGACTGCAAGAGAAGAAGCGCTTGGCTCAGACGCTCTGGCCTGGGCCGGGCGGGGGCGCAGTCCCCGAAGCAGACCTGACACGGAAAGGCCCCCGGCCCTGATGTGTCCTGGGTGAGGGACACGGGGGAGGAGAGGAGGCCACAGGAGAGTTCGGGGCGGGAAGAGCCGGGGTCATTTCTGCCACGGCGAGAACGGACGGCGGCCGGGCCGTGTTACCTCCTGGCAGAGCCGCGTGAGGCCTGCCTTCCCGGCAGCACCCAGAGCCCGGCCTCCACCTGCTGTCCCCCAGGGGCTCAGCCCTGCCTCTGCGGGGCGCTCCGAGGCCAGGCTCTACCGGCAGCCCCATGTCCGCTGCCCTTGACCTCTACACTCCCACACCCTCGAGGACCAGCAGGTGGGGCAGGGCTCCTTCCAGACCCAAGGCCCGCATCCCCCAAGCCCCTGCTCATCGCACCCCACTGCCCGCAGCCTGGGCCCTGCAGCTTCCCGCCCCTCCTCCTGCCCAGCCTCCACCCCGCACAGCTGAACGCGGCTCAGGACCCCGGGGCTCCCCGACCTCGGAGGTAACCCCGCCTCTGCGTCACAACCTTGACGCCTCGCTGACACCTTGCACTTGAAAAGCACAGGACCTCTTTCTGGTCACAGAGCCCCGGCCGGCCAGGCTGTGTGGGTGTCACAGGACCCCCTGCGGTGAAGCAGTCCCACCGAGTGTCCCCAAGGCCCACAGGGCCCCGGGCAGATGTTCACGCCCTCCGTTCTCTAGCAGGGATTGGCAGGGCGGGGCCGGCGCCATGAGCTTGGGGTGGTTTCTACATTTTAAGTAGCTTTAGCAAGACACCGAAAGGGAAATGGTATTTTATGATACGCAATTCACATTTCCATGGTCGTACGATAAAGTTTTATTAGAACGCAGCCACGCCTACTCAGTGACCTGTGGCGCCTTTTCCCTCCCAGAGGCCGAAAATCACTCCTCGTGGCCCTTTCGGGGAACCTGCCACAGATGCTGGGCTGTGACCCGCGGCGCTGAGGGGTGGCCTCCCCTCCTCTGAGGGGGGCGCTGTCACCCCACCCCAACCTTCTCTACCTGGGTCCCTGGGGCCTATCTGCATCCTCTTTTTTTTAAAGGTGTTTTTAAAATTTATTTATTTGGGGGGGGGGAGGAGCAGAGAGAGTCCCAAGCAGGCGCCTCCCTGTCCGCACAGAGCTCAAGGGGCTCAAGCCCACAAACCGCGAGAGATCGTGACCTGAGCCGAAACCAAGAGTCGGTCGCCTACCCGACCGAGCCCCCCAGGCGCCCCCACAACCCATCCTTTCATACCTGCTGTTTTGGTCACTTCAAATTCCTCGTTTTTCAGGGGGACGTCACTTTCTCTTTCAAACGCGGCTTTGGACTGAAAAAGAACCAGTGGAGAGCTCCCTAATCAGGAAGGGACAGGCTCCGGCCCGCTTCGCAGAGCAGAACAAGCTAAAGCCCCCTGCTTTCACCAAAGGGGCGCCTGATGCTTTTCTGGGCTCGAAAGAGAATCTAGAGGCGCCGCTGGTTAACCCACTTAGGAGATCGTCAGCCGACTTCACGTCACGCCCCCGCGGCCGATCCTCCAGGAAGGCACTGACCCCGCTCTTCCCTTCAGCGAACGCACGCGAAGGACGCAAACACCGGCAGCCTTTTGCCTGTGATTTTCAAACGTCAGACCTGTGTCTCGAGTCGGCTAAGCATGGGTTTTAAAGTAAGACAGGGCCCCGGAGAGCGATTCGATTGCGGCGCGCCAGCTCCCCCGGCTCTGCAATCGGGCCCTCGAGGGTGGAGGGTGTTTCGTCCGTATGGTCGAAGTCCATCAGGAGCCAACTTTTAAGTAAAGGAGATTATTCTCCATGGCCCTGGTGGGCCTTCGGAGCAGGAGGCTACCCCGCAGAAGTCCCCACACTGCCAGCGCCCCCCACTGCCCCCCGCCGGCTGGCTGGGCCCCATGGCAAAGCCACATCCAGGCAACAAATGCCTGGAATGCCCGTCCCTCCTGGTTCTGCTTCCTGGAGCAATCAAGTGGTTTTCCAGCTGTTCGTGATCCAAACACAGAAGCGGGGGCTGGGGGAGGGGCTCCGCAGTGTGGCCGGCGCCTGGGGGGGGCCGTGAGCGCCGGGAGCGTGGCAGAAGGGGCTGCCGGGGCCACAGACCACAAGTGACAGGAGCCAAGGCATGTGGGGGCGCCCCCGCCTCTGGGCCACTCCTGCCCTTGCTGTCCCTGCTGGGGTCCCCAGGACGGAGCAGCCAGGACTTTGAGAGTGCCCCCCGCCCCCGGCCTCCTGTGGTAGGAGAGGGAGGCCAGGTGTCCGCTCCTGCCCCGCCCCCAGTGGCGTCTCCCTGCCACCTCTAGGCCCCGAGTCCGCATGGCGTCCCATGTCCTTCCTTGTTACAGAGCCTCCCTGGAGGGGCTTGGCGCCTGTGCCCTCGCGTCGCCCGCCTCCCCACCCCTGCAGGCGCGGCCCGCACTCACGTAGGCCATGCCGTACTCGATCTCGGCGCCCCGCACCTCCGCCTTGAACTGCGTGAAGTACAGGTAGGACTTGCCCTGGGGCCTGCAAAGGAAGGGCAGGCGAGGGGGTCAGCCTCTCCTCTTCGCCGGAACGTTCTTTCGGCTCATTTAGTGACAAGCCCGTTTCTCCCTCTGGGCCCGAGCTGCCGTAGGATCGGAACCCGTGTTCAGTCACCTAATGACAGAACCCCCAGAGGCGCCCGGTACTGTGCTGGGGACCAGGGACTGGCGGCGTCCCGGGCGGTGAGAAGTCCGGAGTTAACTAGGCAGGGGAGGGGGACCGCTGCCCTGGGCCGAGCGTGCGAATGGGGGGGGGGCGCCAGGAGGGCAGGTGGGGGGGGTCCAGGGGGCCTCCCGGATTCCCTGAGCCCTGGCGGCTGCCCTGGGCCTGATGCGTCAGCACCTGAAGCCGGGAGGCCAGCACGTTTAGGTGTTTACGTGGCGGCGGTGACCGGCAGACAGAGGCCCCGGGCCCCTTGCCCCCTGCGACACTTCTCTCTGGGTCAGGGGGCGCCAGACGGGGTCTCCTCTCAGCCCTGAGTAGGACGCCGGGCTCCTGGCCCCTGGGGCCTGTGCCGGATGCCAACAGGGGCCAGTCTGCAGCGCAGGGGCAGGGGGGGGAGGGGACTGTCCCGGACACTGCCTAGCGGCACCTGCTGTCTGTAGAGCACCAGGCAGGGCGCCGCGGGGTGGGGGCCACGAGCGGATGAAAACGCCCCATGTCCTCTTACTGTTGTTGCTGCCACAGCCCCCCCCGACCCACAGCCAGCTGGGGGAGTCGGTTCCAGGCCGCTGAGCCCAGGGAGCAGGGACAGATGTGACAAGGCCCCGGCGCCCTACCCCCCAACCAGGGGGCCAAGCACCCCCCTCCTGTTCCCTCTTGGGCGGTGGCTCGCCTGTGAGGCACTCCGGGCGGAGAGGGGACGGGGCAAAGGGGACCGAGGGTGACGATGGGGGGAGCCCGGCCCCTCCCAGGGCTGCTTTGCTCCCGCGTCTCCCCACCCCCTCTTGGCCTCAGTATTCCTGCGCTTGCCTGAAGCGCCCTCCCCCCCCCACCTTCCCCCTGCGCGGTGGCACGGCCGCTCTCCCATCGGCACAATTGTGCGACGTCTGCCCCCAGCCTGTGTGCCCTCTGGGGTGAAGGAGCCTGTCTTCGTGGCCGCCCAGGCCCCGGGCTCACCTCCAGATGGTGCAGGTGAAGTGCTGGCTGTCCTCGCTGGTCCCCAGGCTCATCTGCCACTTCTGGGGATAGAGGGAAGGCACAGGTCAGCGCGGGGCCCGCGGCCTCACAGCTCAGGGCACACTCGGGGGTTCGGGGGCATCTCCACTTCTGCAGAGTGAGCAAACCCTCCCTGGGCCTCCCTGCTGGGCTGGCTCAGGGCCGGGGAGACCGTAATGGTGGCCACGTGTGCTCACACGTTCGTCCGAACCCACAGAAGGCGGGGCACCGAGGGTGAACCCCGACGTTCGCTACGGGCTTGGACTCTCAAGGACGTGGCAGTGGGTACGGAGAGGCACAGGTGTCCCTTCTGAGGGCAGCATCACTGACAGGGGAGGCCGTGTGGGGGGCGCTGGGGATGGGTATCAAAATCTGTGCCTTCTGCCCACTTGGGCTGTGAATCCAAAACTTCCCTAAAAAATAAAGCCTATCAAGAAAAATAAGAACTAGGGGCGCCTGGGTGGCTTAGTTGGTTAAGTGTCCGACTTTCGCTTAGGTCATGATCTCACGGTTCGTGGGTTCGAGCCCCGAGTCGGGCTCTGTGCTGACAGCTCAGAGACTGGAGCCTGTTTCAGATTCTGTATCTCCCACTCTCTCTGACCCTCCCTTGCTTCACGCTGCCTCTCTCTCTCAGAAATTTAAAAAAAAAAAAAAGAAAAAAGAAAAATAAGAACTAAAATAAAAGGCGACAGTATATTCACGCTTGTTGAAGGAGCATAACATCCTCAGAACAGAGGCAAGACCCTGACACTCGTGGCTACACAGGGGCTGTGGGTGGGGCCTGGGCAACGGAAGTCACCAGAAAGCTGTTTTACGTGTTTTTCTTTTTGAACGATGTGCATTTGTTAGCTTTTTAGAAACCCAATTAAAAAAACAAAAATTTTGGGGCGCCTGGGTGGCTCAGTTAGTTAACTGTCCGACTTCAGCTCAGGTCATGATCTCACAGTTCATGGGTTCGAGCCCCGTGTCGGGCTCTGTACTGACAGCTCGGAGCCTGGAGCCTGTTTCAGATTCTGTATCTCCCTCTCTCTCTGACCCTCCCCTGCTCACGCTGTGTGTGTCTCTCTCTCTCAGAAATAAATAAAACATTAAAAATAAAATAAAAGATAAATATTTAAAAATTTTTTAATCAAAAATTTTAAGTGATTCCAAAATATGCTGCTACCAGTGTCTTCTGGTTTTCGGGCCTCTGAAAACCTGGAGGATGGAGATGGTCGACCAGGGCCGGTTCCGGGTTGCCCTGCGGCATCTGTATCTTTTGCTAGTAAATCGTGAGTTTACAGCCCCCTCTCTGGAGTAATAACACAGCACGAGCACTGATTCCTGATTTAACGTCAGGCTTCTTCATTAAGGAGAACAAGGCTGTGTTTAGGCTAATTATGATGGGGGTAAATGGTCACCTAGGCGTGGCCTGTCTGCAGCGCAGGGGTGGGGACCATCATTCTGGCGAGACGGCTGCCGCCATGCCTGTGGACACAGCAGTTTCTCTTCCCTGTTTAAAAGACCTGCCTGGGGGGGTGGGGGGGGGGCCTGGGTGGCTCAGCTGGTTGAGTGTCTGACTCTTGATTTAGGCTCAGGTCAAGATCCCAGGGTTGGGGGATCGGGCCCCACAATGGGCTTCACACTGAGCATGGAGTCTGCTTAAGATGCTCCCTCTCTCTCCCCCACTTTGACCTTCCCCTGATCACACCCTCACTGTCTAAAATAAATTAAAAAATAAAAACAATGTGAAAAGCACCCGTCCACAGCTCCAAGGCCTCTGAGCAGCTGGAAATGGCTTTATGCTATGACAGGTTTGCCACAGCTCTGACAAGGTTCTTGAAAATGAGGCAACTATTTAAACGTTGTTTAAAAACGAAGGCAAACCAATTTAACGCCAAGATCTTCTAAGCAGTAGGGTCCATATTGCTGTGAATGACGCTGTGGTTATATGAACTTGACCGTAAGCCCGTGGCCGCAGGGCCCGTGGGCGGTTGGTGATGCTCGGGATTTGACATCAGACACTCATGCGCGGGTGTCCTGGGGCAGTCAGAGCCCCCGGGGCCTCGTCTGGGCAGCTCGGGGACCGGGCGAGGGAGTGGCTGGGTGTGGCAGAGGTCGCGCGAATGGTAGCTGCTGGTGGTTTTTATTACGGCGTAAGTTAACAGGTGGGGACACGTGCCTCTTTGGTGATAGTTCTGAGCTCTGACGTGTGGCTCCCGCTGCGTGTCCCCCACCCACCCAATCAGGATACAGACAGTTCTGTCTCCCCGACTCCCCAGGGCCCTTCCCTCCGCAGTTAACCCCTCCCCGCGAATTCCTGGTAACCCCGGCCTCATCTCTGTCCTCCGAGTTGGCCTTTGCAAAACTGTCATCAGGTGGACTGGGCCGCTTGCCGTCCTGTGTGAGTTTCCGCTGGGCACGCGCCCCGGACGCCCGCCCAGGCCGCTGCCGGGGGCCACAGGTCACTCGTTCAAGGGCCTTTTGAGAAACGTTTACATACTGTACCTTCACTCTTTTCAAGCCAACAAGTCTGTGTTTTGCAGCATGTTCATAGGTGTGCATCCCATCACCACGATCTGGCTCCGGAACATTCTATCTCCCCAGAAAAGAACTCCATCTCCCTCAGCAGTCACCCCCACCCCCCATCGCCTCCTCCGTCTCTGGCACTCGGAACTCATTTCTGTGTCGGCGGATGTGCCTGTTCTGGACGGTTCACTTAAATGGAATCATACACTCTGGGGCCTCTCGTGTCTGGTCCCCTCCCCGAGCGTCGTGTGCTCGGGTCCGTCCACGGGGCGGCGGGTGTGGGCGCCTCCTTGCTCCTGTTCACGGCTGAGCGACGTTCCCGTGCGGACGCAGTGTGGGTGTCCGGTCACCGCGGATGCACACGTGGGCTGGCCGCCGTGAGTCCTGCTGCGGTCCATGGTCACGGCATCACCAGCAGGCAGACACCGGGCGAAGGGCCGGGCTACAGGGCAGGTGTGTACACTGAACTTCCCAAGAAACGGCCAGTCTGCGACCCCGCCGGCCACGGCCGAGCTCTCCAGTTGCCGGGCACTGAGCAGCTATGAGCGACCCTGGATGGCAGGTCACCCGACCGCACTGGCCTCCCAGGTGGCCCCTGCAGGAACCAACTCCTAGCAAAGGAGCAAGAGCTGGCTGCCCTCCCTCAGGGGCCCTGCTGCCACGGGTCCTGCTGGGAGGCGACCGGGCTCTGCGGTGTCTGCCTGCTGCTGGGGACGCCTCTGCACAAAGGCCACCACGGCCTCCCGTTCCGGCTGCTCCGAGCACCATGTCTGCTGTGCTTGCCGCGTGGCGCTAGCCAGAAGCCGCAGAGCATCTCGAACCTTCCCCGCACATCCGCCAAGGACCCGGCCGGCTGAGCTGGACGTCCAGCAGCCGCCGCCGAGCGCCCCGTCAGGCTCGCACGGCGCCCCGCGCCCCGGCTGCCTGTGGTCTCGGTCACGGTCCCCCATGGCCACCGCTGGACGAGCCCGCGCCACCACACACCTGCATTTCTAGGCGGTTTCCTTCCGGACGTGCCTCTCCTTCCAAAACAGACGACCCTGCCCGCTGCTGCGATTCTAGCTTGTGACCCAACGGCTATTCCAAGACGAGGCTCCAGCCCACAGTCGCCCTGACCGGTGCCTGTGAACTCGGCTCCCCCTCGCCCAGGGCTGACGCAGAGGGTCCACCTCTGTTCTGTCTGAGGCGGGGGGACGGGGCACACGTGCTCTTTTCCAAGTTGCTGGTATTTCCCGCGCAGAGCAGTGGTTAGGGGTCTGTGGCCTGGGGACGTCGGTCACTTCCCGGCTGGGGGAGTGGGGGCCTCCGCAGCCTCGCGTGTGAAACTGGGTCGCGACAGAACAGTACAGGCTCCTGGGACCATGGAGAGGAAGGAGTGGGGTGTGCGCGCGGCACCCGGGAAGCGGTGTAGACGCTGCTGCAGGTTGCTGTGGCGTCCAGAAGGCTGCCCCGTGGAAAGGGCACACGGACTCGTTGTGAGTGCCGGGGGGGGGGTCAGCTGGACTGATGGGCTTTGGGTCCCTGTTAGGAGGAAGGTTCCGCCACTTGGCCACATGCCGTGATGGAGGGGACCGCCCGGAGCAGCAGTGAGCCCGGCGGTGTGGGAGGAAGGGGCGGACATGACTCACAGGACGCCTGTTGTCCTGGCGGTGGTGGGGAAGGGACGTGCAGAGGCCCCAGTGCCAGGGGTCATCAGCTGCTTGTGACACTTTGTTAAAACACAGTCACCGGGCATCATCTGTTTACAAGCAAGACGCGTCTAAGTGAACAGAAGTCACTCGGGCCGAGTGGTTTCCGACTGGAGGCAATTCTGTCCTCCAGGGAACACTAGGCAATGTCCAGAGACGGTTCTGGGCGCCACGACCCGGGTGCCCCTGGCAGCGAGGGGGTGCGGCCTGGAGGCTGCTCAACACTGCGGTGCCTGGGACGACTCCCTCAGCGAATGACCAGGCCCCGGATGTTAGTGGGGCCAAGGTCAGGGCGGGGAGACCCTTGCCCAGTTCTGTGTCTGTCCCGAGTGCGAGGGGAGCGTGGCTCCGAGCCAGCCTCTGCCGAGAGGGTCAGGCTCGTGAGAGGCTCCCAAGCGGCCCCATCTCCAAGACTCCGCGTTGTCATGAGACACAGTACCGCAGACTGTTCTGGAAGGCCGGCGGGATTTCCTACCGTGTGGCTGGTGGGGAGAAAAAGCACGATTAGGGAGACAAGGAGACGTAGTTTACTGACTTTAATACGGATGATGAATCCTTCCCTTTCATTTTTCTTCTGTTCTGATGATCGATCCTGAGGACAAAGTCTGTCTGTGGCTCTTCCCGAACGCGAGCCGTGTGGCCTCCTGAGGAAACCAGTCCTTGTTCTCGGGGGGTCTTCTCCGCACCGACGCGTCCGGCCGCCACCGGCTGTCCTGTGGGCTGGGGCTGCGGGCGCTATTTACCGCCACCGCCGGAACAAAGCTCCGCACACCCGCTCCCTTTCAGCCACCATCCGTTCCCTCCCAGTCCGAGGCCAGAGGTCCAGATCAAGGTGTCGCCAGGCCGTCTCCCTTCGAAGGCTCTAGGGAAGGTTTCGTCCTGCCTCTTCTGGATTCTGCGGGCCCCAGGTGTCCCCAGGCTTGTGGCCATGTCCCCACCTCTGCCTCTCTTCACTTGGCCTTCTCCTCCGAACGTTGTCTCTTCTATCAAGTCTCCCTGGAGCACCTCTTGTTGCTGGACTCGGGACCCGCAGGGACAACCCAGCATGACCTCTCTGTCGCACGATCCTTAACTTGCATCTGCAAATGTTTTTGGTTTTCTTCTAAACAAGGTCAGGGGCGCCTGGGGGGCTCGGTTGGTTGGGCGTCCAACTGCGGCTCAGGTCATGATCGCGGTTCGTGGGTTCGAGCCTCACGTCGAGCTCTGTGCTCACAGCTCGGGGCCTGGAGCCTGCTTCCGATTCTGTGTCTCCTGCTCTCTCTGCCCCTCCCCTGCTCACTCCCTGTCTCTCTGTCTCTCAAAATACACACACGTTAAAAAGAAATTAAAATAAATAAATAAATAAGGTTAAATTCACATGTTCCAGGAATTAGAAAGGGAACATGTCTTTTTTTGGGGGGGGGGGGGCATTCAACTCACTACCCCGCGTCATAAAGGACCGCAAATTTAACAGTTTATCTGCACAGCATGCTCAGCGGCTCTCCATGCCCAACACAGAAGTGGGGTACGGTGGGCCCCCGCTCAGCGTCTCACAGGACGGGACGGACACAAGATGTCAGTGGACTGCACTTCCATCTGAGCCTTGGGCTCTTCCACCTCGTGTGCTGGTGGCAGGATTGAGTTCCTGGGGCTGGCTCCCAGAGGCCACCTGCACCACCACCTCCCCCCACGGCCAGCAAGGGCGAGCCACATCCTTCTTGTGTTTCCAATCTTGTTTCCTTTCCATCCAGACTTTTGTTCGCCCTGTGGACTGACAGGGAAAATCTGCCATCGCTATTTAACTTGAGCATCATCTTTCATCAGTGAGGCGAGAATAGTCCCGCGGTGTGAGTGTGAGTCAACACGGGCGTGACTCAATCCTACCGCTCCCTGGAGAGCATCTACGACGTCGGACACCGCCACACAAAACCATGTGGAATTTTGAACAACTCACCTCGTTGGTCCCTCCTTGAGAAGCGTAGGTGAACGTACATGTATATCTGTCCTGGAGACAAACGGGAAAAAGCCTGTTAGGAAGTGCTCATGGTGAGCGTCCTTTGGAGCTCCAAAATCAAGAAGATCTGGCTTTTGGGCCCATGGGGGGCTCAGTCGGCTGAGCGTCCTACTTTAGCTTGGGTCATGATCTCACAGTTCATGGGTTCGAGCCCCGCGTTGGGCTTGCTGCTGTCAGGGCAGAGCTCGTGTGGGATCCTCTGTCTTCCTCTCTCTGCCCCCGCCCCCAACTCACGCTCTCTCAAAGTAAATCAACATTAAAATATGTATATGTGTATATGTATATACATATATATATGACTAAAAAGAAGACATCTTGGGGCGCCTGGGTGGCTTAGTTGGTTAAGCGTCTGACTTTCGCTTAGGTCATGATCTCGCGGGTAGGGTTCGAGCCCCGCGTCGGGCTCTGTGCTGACTGCCAGCTCAGAGCCTGGAGCCTGTTTCAGTCTGTGACTCGCTCTCTCTCTGACCCTCCCCTGCTCACGCTCTCTCTCTCTCTCCTAGAAATAAATAAAAACATTTTAAAAAATTAAAAAAAAAAAAGACATCTGGCTTTTGAACATCTGCGCTAACAGGAAGGAGACAGAGGCAGTTTCCTGGCAGACGAGCCGGAGGCCAAGCCCGCAGGGCCTCCCAGCGTCCACAGATCTAGACCTTCCCCTCTCTCCCCCCCATCCCTGAGCCCCTGCCTCAGGACAAACAACCCACGCCGGGTGAAGAACAGGAAGGGGGAAGCCCCACACCCTCCAAGCACCCACCCACCCAGGCACATGGACTTTGGAAGCAGGGACGCCCGGAAGCCCATCTCTGCTCTGGGGCCTCAGACAAGTGAAAACTTTGCGGAGGCGGTTTTCCTCATCTGATAAATGGTCGGAGCAAATAAAGCACTTGGCGCCATTCGTGCCCCTAAGAAAGTACTCAGTACATCGCAGCTATTGATAACCTGCAACAGGGAACATGACGACCAGGGGGGAAGGGCTTCCGCAACAAGCTCGGGGCAGGGTCGGGGGGCCCCAGGCTGCCTGACAACTAAGGAGGGCCTAGCCTCACGCCTCGATGGAAGAGGGGGAAGAGCTTGTGCGATGGAGAAGAAAGAGCAACCTCCATCCACTTCCTCCCTGGTCGGAGCTGCAGCAGGGCTGACTTTCTGCAGGGCCTGGAGGTGAAATACCCCTCGGCCTCCTCCCTCCCCACCTCTGCCCTCCACTGGCCGGGTACTCGCCTGGCCTGGGAGTTAGGGCTGCTCGGGCACGCTGGGCATGTGAGACGACACAGGGACTGCGGCTAGTGACCCACCCTCTCAAAGTCGCCAGACCTCAGAAGGCCCCGCTCGCGTTAAGTTCACCCCCGTCTCCGAGCCCCGACCCCAATCAGGCCCCGCCCCTGGCGGTCCTTGCCCCCTTCTCAGGACCCGCCCCCACCGGCGCCACCGTCCAAGCCCCGGGGGCGGCAGTGACACGTACCCCCGGGCCCACGTTCTGGGAGAAAGAGTGCACGACGCCGCCGGGTCTCACGTCAAACGCCACCGTCGTGGGCTCGGACACGGCCTCCCCCGGCCTCAACGCCACAGCCGCCAGGAGCAACGCAGCCCACAAGCTCGCACCTTCGCCGCTCCTCCTTTTGCTGGGCGCCGCCATCTTGGGATCGGATCCGCCGGGCAGGGTGGCGACGGGACGCGGCAAGGGACACGTGGGGCGACCGCCGGAGGCCACGTCGGCGTCGGCGCGGCCCCGTGACCAGGCGCGCTCCGCCCCCTTTCCGGATTTGGCCGCCATGTTGGGGCGGGGCTTGGACTTCCAGGGTCGGTCCCTGGGGGGAAGCGGTCCTAAACTCCCTTCCTGCCTCAGTTCCTAGCCTCGTGACCTACCCTAGGGCTCTTCCAGTTCCTAAGTGTAGACGGAACGAGGGAAATGGACGATGACCACTGGGTAAACACCTCATAATTGTTGCAGCCAAGATCTCTAGGTGGATCTGAAATTTAATAAAGGGAAACCTCATTTAGAATGGAACGGGGAGGCCGGCAGGGAAAGCCCTGCACCCTAGGATTTCTGGTCAATTGCAGGCCAAGCAGGAAGTCCGGCGCCTTGCAAGTCCACAGTGTGTTAGCGCTACTGCACAGGCCCAGCAAGAGGAAGTTTTCCCCCTGCCCCGCAACAGCCCAGCCAATGAGAGACAGTCACGGCTCAGCCAATGAGAGACAGCCACAGCCCAGCCAATGAGACACAGTCACGGCTCAGCCAATGAGAGACAGCCACAGCCCAGCCAATGAGACACAGTCACGGCTCAGCCAATGAGAAGCCATCACAGCTGGCACCGCCAAGGTAGGGCCGTGGACTTTTTATTTAGAACAGCTTCTTCCAGAAAGTTCCTCGGTGTTCTGTAAAATAATATTCCTCACCCTCGTTCTGCACATTTCCCTGTGGTTTTGCTATAGGTTGCCTGTCCCACGTTGCAATTATCTGCCATTCCTGTTTTTACTGGTAAAGTAACTTTTATTTCTTGAGGTTAACAGATCTAAAAATTAGTGGGCGAAAGTATGAGAAACAGGTTATTTCTATGGTCTCAAAGTATTCCTCCTCCCAGATAGGTATTAGTTATAAAGGGGAAAATGGTGATTTTTACAATGAAGACACGATCTTTATTTAGCCCAGTGATCAAAGTTAACGTCGCCAATGAGGCAGCAACGTTGAGCCGCTCACAGGATGCAGTGAGAAGGGAATTTTCAGTGGTTCTTCTCGACTTCCTGCCGCAAATGCATGACTTCAGTCTAATTATAAGCAAATATCAGACAAAATCCTAAGCTGAGGGACACTCCGCAAGATAACTGGGCAGTATTCCTAAAAACTACCATGAGAGACAAAGGCCTAGGAGCCATCGCAGGATGGGGAGACCAAGACGGCAAAACACAACATGGGCTACTGGATCGCCTCCTTATCTTCGTTCGGTCTGTTTTAACAAACACACCACAGACTGGCTGCTCGTAAATAAACACACGCTTATCTCTAATGGTTCTGGAGGCTGGAAGTTCAAGATCAAGGCAACGGTAGCTTTGGCGTCTGGTGAGGCCCACCTCCCAGTTCACAGGCAGCCCGGTGCTCGAGATCTCATGGTCCTCACCAGGTGGAAGGGGCAGGGCACTCTCTGGGGACTCTCTTAGGAGGGCACTCATCTCATTCGTGGGGGCTCCACCCTCATGACTTAACGCCTCCTGGAGACCCTGCCTCCTAACAGCATCACCTTGGCCATTAGTGTTCACCATGTGAAGTTTGGAGGGACCCGTTGGGTCCATGACAATCCTGGACCAGAGAAATGCCCTCTATACGTTAGATACTAGGATTGTGTTGAAGCTAATTTCCTGGCTTCGATGACCTGATGGAACCACGGTTACCTAAGATGTTCACATGAGAGGAAGCTGGGTTAGGGGCATCTAGGAACTCTGTGCTATTTCTGCAGCTTTTCCGTCAGCCTAAGGTTGTTTCAAAATAAACTAAAAAAGGGGCATCTGGGTGGCTCAGTCGGTTAAGTGTCCGACTTTGGCTCAGGTCATGATCTCACGGTTCGTGGGTTCGAGCCCCGCATCAGGCTCTGTGCTGACAGCTCAGCTCAGAGCCTGGAGCCTGTTTCCAATTCTGTGCCTCCCTCTCTCTCTGCCACCCTCCCCTGCTCACGCTGTCTCTCTCTCTCTCAGAAATAAATAAAACATTAAACTTTAAAATAAATACATAAATAAACTAAAACAAAAACAGTCCCTACCTCATGGGGTTGTCAGGATACTCAACTGAGGACATGCAGGTGACATTTTTTTTTTTTTTTTTGCAGGTGACATTTTTATAAGGACTCCAAATCCTAGCTTCCCCCCCACCCCCCCAATTGTTTTGGTCACAGATCGCTTAAGTTTTCGAGAAAACACCACAGCGGCGAGGCCCGGAGTGTCCAGAATTAGATTTGTTTCCCTAGTCCTTCCTGACTTGAAAGAACAGAATCCAGAAAGAAAATCTTACAGGTTACCCCTAAGCTGAGCTCTATTGCAAACTTTCAGGACCTCAGACACAGGAGGTGAAGGCCAACCTCAGGGAGGTCTGGAGGATCTTTGAGCAGGCTGACAGCTCCGCAGATAACCCAGCCTCCAGCCCTCCAGCTACAGGCAGCCTCTCCTAACTCAGGATACCTATTTGCATGAAGAAATTTCTTTCTCCTTGCAGCTGTCTGCTCTGGACCTTTTAGAAATGGCTCCACAAACCAGATGATCACAGTCTACTCTTTCTGTGTTCTACACAGCACAATTCTGTTGATGCCTTTCCCGTTACCTCCCCTGCCGTGTTTGACATTCAGCCCATCGCTAGGAAGAATTCAATTAGCGGCCAAGTGCGGTTGCTAACAAGATACTTCAGTGGTGACCTGTTTGAGAGTCCTACTGAAGAGAGGCAGGTTTGCATGTGCATGTTTTTCCTTTTTGCCTAAAAAAAAAAATCGAACTGGAGAGATGAAAAGAAAAAAAAATTATTCCAGAGATCCTTCTTAATCATGACGTGAAATGTAGCAATCCTTAAGGAAGCCATTGGATGACACAAATATCAACGGCAGACATCTGTCTCTCTGTTCAGGACACCATAAACAGGGTGGACATCACAGGGATGCACAGAGGAGCTCCTTTCTGGACAGTCAACAGTTTTCTATTATGATCGGGGTGTTGGTGAAAGGAATCTGTACAGGCGACAAAAAAGACAAGACATGTACACCGGCTCACCAGTGAGCACATGTAAAAGCTGATAAAATCCACTCCGGGTATACGGTCTGGTTAATTGCATTGTGGTCTTGTCAGTTTCCTGATTTTGACAATGGACTGCGGTTAGGGAAGATGTAAGCTGCGTGAAGGGCACCTGGGACTCAACTATTTTTCTAACTTCCTGTGTGTCCAGAGTTAAAAGTTTTTGTGCATTTTTGTTTCTTGTTTGTGTTGAAATACCATAAACCTGTCTGATAGACCAATGACGAACCGGAAAGTATCTACAACCAACAGGACACAGGCTTTTCTGTCCATCGCCTATGGGTTCTTGCCAATTAGGGAAGAGAGGAGCTCTTCCAGCAGGAGAGCAAGCGGGCATGTGCGCGGGCAACCTCAGACAGGACCAGGGACCTTCTCACCGACGGGTGCCCCACCGGCGGTGAAGAAGAGTGGCCCATGTAGCAGCCTGGAAGAACCACATGCCTCTCCCTGCCACCTCTGCAACTGAGACTTTCTGCCAGCAGACACCTGTCCTCTTGTGGCTGGCCGTCACCCACCCTTCCTTCCTGTTGGCACCCACCGACACTTCTGGGGCTCATTGTCAGGGCAGGAATGTGACTGAAGTTTGGCCAGTAGCTGCGGTCTCACGACAATCTTGAGTACTGACCGCGGGAGGCAGGGGCAGAAAGTTCTGACGAAGAGTTCTTGCTCTGAAACCAATGCCAGTTTCCAGCTGCCAAGGCTCCTGGAGCACGCCCAGTGTCCTCTCCCACCAGTTTCTGTCATTTTGTGACTTGTGACCAGTCCCCTCCTTCACTTTAAGTGAAAGACTTATTCCCCAGACTGATTTTAAGACATTCACTGGCTGAGCTTCCTACCTGTAAAACACACGGGGAGATCGACAACATAGTTCAATTTGCAAATGGCTGACAAGGGACTGATTGCCTTCATATGTAAAGAGTGTCCACAAATCAATGAGGCCAATAGGTCAAAAGAAAGGTGGGCAAATGATCACTAGTAAACAAGTATCTTAAAACATGAAAATATTGCCACACAGAAAATTACAGTGAGATGCCACATTTCTACCCTAAGATTAGCAAAGATAAAAAAAAAAAAAGAAATTGGTAACAGTTAATACTGGTGAAGAAATGGAGAAACAGGCAATACTTCACGCTTACTGGAGAAGCTTACATTGAGGTGTTCTCTTTGGAAGGCAATTTGGCAATACTCCGTGAAACCAAAATCAAATATGCCTTTTGATTATTCTAGGAATTTACCCCTATAAACTCAAATATATGACCAAAGTATGTATAAGGCTGTTACGTATCACTTATACTGGCTGTTGGCCAATTACAGCCTGTGGGTTAAATCTGGCCAGCTGCCCGGGTTTGTAAATAAGGTTTTAGTGGCACGTAGCCAGACCCCCTCATTTACATATCACCTGTGGGCGCTTTTGAACTAGGAGAGCAGAGTGGTTGTATCCCCGGCAGTCTTGCCTGCGAAGCCTAACATATTTACTCTCTGGCATTTTAGGGGGGAAGTCTGTTGACCCCTGACTTATACCGATTCAGACCAAAAGCCCGGAATAACCTGTTCTCCCTCAGTAGGTGCCTGGCAAAATAAATTAGGGCACATTCATAGGCAGGAATAGAAAACAGGTATTAAAAATAAGAGACTGGGATGTGATTACCTTTCTGGAGGGAAGGCATCTTTTCTCTGTATATCCTTTTGCACTGAAGTTTTATTATTTTTTAAGCCATTAAAAATAAAAGCGGAGCTTCCCAAACTACGGAGGTGGGTGGAGGCGCCAGATCGTCCTGCTGCGGGGAATTCAAGGACCGGCGTGCCGCGCGGTCTCTGGGTTCCCCAGGTGTGGGCTGCGGGGACAGTCGTGAAGGGAATGGCCCGCTCTCCTTTCCTGACCCCCCAACCACGGAGACAGCACAGGCACTAAAGGAAGTGAAGGCCGCCGGGCCACAGGGACGGCCAGAAGGATCCGCACCTTGGCTACCGCTGTGGCCCTGAGGAAGCCCGGGGGCTGGACGGGCCGGCCGCGACACCCCAGGCAGGGGTCCCTAGGCGACTTGCCGTGGCTGCACCGGGACCCTGGGGCTGTCCCCTGTGGGGGGGCCGGTCTGACGGGGGGGTGGGGAGGAGGGGGGCGTGTGGCCCGGCCCAGGCGGAGGCACAGCCCTCAGTGGCCCCGGGGCTGGGAAGGAACCTGAGGCAGGTGGGCGCGCTTCTGTCTGGAACTGTTTAATGAGTCTACTTCTTACACGCATAATTATAAAAGAATAAGAATTGACAAAAATATTTTCTTTCCATAATATGTAGAGGTGGTTCGTTTCTGGTGGGGTTTCTCGTTTGTGTGTGTGTGTGGTTTTTGTTATAGTTTTTTGCTTGTTTTTCTTTTTGCCCGCCCCCCCAGCAGAAGTCCTGGCGGGAGGGGAAGGGTGAGGAGAACCCTGAGGCGGGGCGGCTCCATCCCGGGCTCTGAGCCCGGGGGTGTGCGCAGGTGGCTCCAGAGCCGGGCGGGGAGGAAGGGTGCCCACCAGGTGCTGGCGGTGGACCCCATCCCCGGATTAGGCACCCTCTGCTCGGTCTTTTAAATAATCGTCAAAAAACGCCCCCGAACAAAACGCAACATGAAGTGGGCGGGGCTGGAGGGAAAGGCAGTCGCATGCTTCCGTGTGGCCATGTGGCCGCTGGGCGTCCTGGGGCCAGGGTGGGGGGGAGGCTCGCGATGGAGGCCCGGCCCCTCCCAGTGTCTTCGGCCCCTGTCTCCCCACCCCCCCGCCGTGTCCCATGGAGTCGGGGCTCCCGGACAACTTGGAGAGGAGGGGGTGGCCTGAGGACGTGCCTCTTGGACTTGGGCCTCATCTCGCCACTCTGGCGACCGACCGAGAAGCAGCAGGCAGAACAGCCAGGAGCATTAAAACAATGATAAAAGGCGCGGGGTCAGCGAAGGCGGAGGCCCCCGGGGTGGGGCTGTCCAGCGGGGCCGAGGGAGAAGGAGCTGCGGGGAGGGGCCTTGGGGGGGGCACTCGCCCCTCCCGCCCGCTCCCTCAGCGGCGGCGGCGAAGCCACTTGTGCTCTGAAGGTGCAGGCCCCAGGCCTCAGGGGCTCAGAGGTATTCCTGTAGAAAGTGCAGCAGCGTGACTTCATAGTGCTCGCCGGACTCCGGGCAGCGGATGCTGTGTCTCTCGTTGGGGTAGATCTGGGGGGACAGAGAAGGCACGGATGGGGGCGGGGCATGGAGGGACTCCGCCCCAGGTGCTCGCCATCCCCGGCATCCTGTGATGTCCCCACTCTGGCCCTGGGCTCCTGGGGGATCGTGGAGAGGAAAGAGCAGGGCCCCTGGGTTGACGGACCTGGGTTCCAGTCCCCCTCCTCCACCCACGTGCTGCTGCGCCACTCTGGGCAGGTGACAAGCTCCCTGACTGCACACGTACCACGCCCCCCCCCCCCCAAAAAAACCCAGATGAAGCACTGGGGCCTCTGCAGGTCCTTTCAATGGCTTGCCAAGGGCAAGTCTCTCCCCCAAGCTAGGAACTGCTCCCCAAACCTGGGGAGCCGGGCGGGGGCTGCACCACATCCAGGGTCACCTGCTGCTGTCTACTGGGGTCACTTCCACTTCACCAAAAGGCCCCGTTAGGACTGCACAAGCTGTGGCCCCCAAGGCAGGCGTCCACCCCAGGCTTTGTCTTACCACCCGAGGGGGATTATCCCCAGAAGGGGCAGTGACATGTTGGTGCCAAGGGCCACACCTGAGGAATCACCCGGGCCCTGAGAGCTGGTGGGGCAGACGTCCAGGCCTGTGGGGGCACGGCGAAGGGCCTGATCATGAAACCAGGGCCCTGGCACCCTAACAGGTCCCAAACCGTGAGGGCTCATGGGACAGCCTTGAAAAGTGCTCCAGACTCTCCCAAAGTCCCCAACCCTGGTCTCAAGCTGGACAGGGCTGGCTGGTGTCAGGGCCAGGGAGCCCATTCCTCGCCCCTTCCTGCCAGCAAGACGGGTTTGTGAGCTATTCTGTCCTCTCTAGGCCCATGGCTACTGCCCCCGTCCACTACTCCAGAACACATCTAAGTGCCCAGAGCTCTCCCCTCCTCCTCCCTTGCTATCTTTAATCCAACCCTGGATGAAGCCCAACTCTGATCATACCGTCCACAGCTCAGAGCTCTGCAAGGACGTGCCAGCCTGGCATCGCGACCCGCCTCCCGGTCCTGCCGCCCCTACAGCCTCCCGGGCCTCGCTCCTTCCCCGCTGTGGGCACCAGCACTGCCTGTGACAGGCCCTTCACACCACCCCGGGTCCTGGCTGCCTGGTCACCCCCTCCTCCCTTCGGCTGTGAGGGCAGGGAGAAGGGGCCGTGCAGTTCCCCGCTGTGCCCTGGCCTGGCCTGCGACAAGTGTGATGTGCGAGGGCGCCAGCCTCCCAGCACAACTGTGATACAAAAGGGGGGTGCGTTCCACCTCCCTCGTGTGCTGACCCGCTCCCGCCCTCAGTTCCTCCCCGGGAGCCCGGGGCGCAGGACTACGAGCCCACCCTGTGTTTTTAACGCTCTCCCGTGAAAACCCATTTGGCCCCGGAGGCTCACCCGCAAACAGGGGTGTCCTTCCCATTTCACAGACGAGCAGGAAAGGCCCGAGGTCAGTGGACCTACCACAAACGGCCAGCCACCCGGCTGGGGATTTCACACTCAAATAGGCTGTCTGAGGGGGCGCCTGCGTGGCTCAGTCGGTTAAGCGTCCGACTCTTGATTTCTTAGGTCATGATCTTAGTAGTGAGATCGAGCCCGGCATCAGGCTCCTTGCTGACGGTGAAGCCTGCTTGAGTTTCTCTCTCTCTCCCCGCCCCTTCCCTGCTTGTGTGGACATGCGCATGCTCTCTCTCTCTCTTTCTCTCAAAAAAGACATTTGAGGTTGCTTCCTGGCTGGCCTCACCCTGATCTCAGGCAGCTGCCTCTGGCCTGTCTTCAAGGAGCACGTGCAGCTGGGGGGCCTCCCAAGATCAAGCTCTGCCTTGCGCCGGCCCTGTCTGGAAAGGCGTGCCCAGCCACAGGTCCCCGTGGCCTGCCCCCCTGCCCTGCAACCCTCAGTTTCCCCGTCTGTTGAACTGGCAACACGGCACTCCCTGAGGACAGGGCGTGTGGTGGCATCTGGGAGGCAGAAGCACTGGGGTGGCAGCCATGCTATCTGTCCTCTCACCTCCCAAACTCCTCCTGAGCCTACCAGGCCTCCAGCTCACTCTGCTGGCCCCTTTCCTGCTGGGACAACGGGCTACGGGCACGTCCCTCTGCCCATGGGACCCTGTCCACAGGGCAGCCAGAGGCACACGGGAGGCTGGCTGACACCTGTCCTCACCCTTGAATCAAAATCCAGCCGAGGCCCCGCCCCCACCGCGGAAGCCCCGCCCAAAGCCCCACCTTGGCCCCCAACTCTCTCCTGCCTGCTCCAGCCGCCTGGTCTCCTGTGCCCGCGCTGCTGTCGCTGCCGGTGTCCTGTGCCTGGGGTCTGCCCGCGGCCCCCCACACCCAGGCCGAATCTCACCAGTACTCTAGCACCCTCAAATGTCCCCCCCTCGGGGAGCCCTTCTCCAGTCCCCGTCTCACACAGATGCTTTCAGCACCTTGTACCGGTTCTGGGTTCCAGATAAAGTGGCGTGTGAGCCATCATTTTCAGAACACTGACCTCCCTCCACCAGGCTGAGCTGGGGTGGGTCTCGCCTGTCCCCTGGGTGTACCCAGGCACCGCCTGTGATCGGTAGGGATCGCGGAAGGATGTGGGGGACATGGGGCCTGGAGAAGGCTGGAGGAGGCCAGCTGTGGGGGAGCAGGGCCACCCACCTGGAGCTGGTAAGGTTTTCCGGCTCGGATCAGCTGGGAGACGAGGAAGTTTGTGTGGAAAAAGTGCACGTTCTCATCCAGGAAGCCGTGCAGGATCAGCAGGCGGTTGGGCCTGGAAGGCAAGGCTGCGTGAGCGTCTGAGGCGGGACCTTCTTCACTCGGGGTGCGGCCAGAGCAGCCAGAACGCAGGGGCGGTCTGCAGACTCCCCCTCCCTTCCAGGCGAGGTGGGGGCACTGTGTGTGTGGAACGCCTGAGCTATGGGGAAGCGTCTAGAGCCGCCATGGCACTGCTGGTTGATAGAATGTTCTAGACCTGCCCCACCGAATGCTGTCATCACCAGCATCACCACATGAGCACTTAAAATGTGGCAAGAGTAGCCGAGGAACAGGAATTTTCTTTTATAAAAAATGGATTTAAAAAAATAATTTATTGGGGCGCCTGGGTGGCTCAGCCGGTTTAGCATCCAACTTCAGCTCAGGTCATGATCTCACGGTTCATGAGTTTGAGCCCCTCATCGGGTTCTGTGCTGACAGCTCAGAGCCTGGAGCCTGCTTTGGGTTCTGTGCCTCCCTCTCTCTGCTCCTCCCCTGCTCATGCTGTCTCTCTCTTTCTCTGTCCAAAATAAATAAACGTAAAATTTTTTAAAAAATTTACCGAAGTGAAGTTCACATAACCTAAAAATACTTTGTTTTAAACTGAACAGTTCAGGGACATTTGGTGCATTCCCAGCGTTCTGTGACCACCTCCAGTTCCAGCAAAGCCCCCTGACTTTAGCAGCCATTCCCCCCCCACCCCAATCCCCCACAGCCACCAATCTGCCTTGACGCACTTATTCGTTCAGTGGCTATAAACTAATGTGAACTTAAATCCAGTGGCCTCACATGGCCTGTGGCTTCCGTACTGGACGGACCAGCCCAGAGCACTGGGGTTTCCGCGTGGCTGTCCCCAGGTATCCCCAGGGAGCCTGGGCCACAATCCAGACCACGGAAAGCAGCCTCACCAGCACCGGGGGCCCAGGCGGGGTCGGCACGCACCGGCCCTGAAGGCTTGGGCCCAGGGCGGCCGTTGGCCAGCCAGAGCCACACCAGAGGTGATGACACGGTCCCCTCCTTCAGAGACGGAGGCTGGTACCAGAGCGTGACACAGTGTGTCTAAGACGCTCCCCCCGACCAAGATGTTACAACCACGTGGACTCGTGTCCTGAACTCCCTCATGTCAAGTCCCACAGAACAGAGACTGGTCAGGTTCAAGACCGGCCGACAGCCTCACAGCGGGATACGTGCTTGGGGAGCGAGGGAGGCCGGTGTGTGCAAGGCACTGGGGCTGTAGGGCCTTCTTCCCATCGTTCCAAGGGCAGGGCTGAGGCCTCCTCCCTCCAAGAGCCCCAGGAGGCCGGCCTGCCCCCATGAGGGGCAGTGAGAAGGGAGGCCCTCGGGGGGCGAGGGGTGCCAAGGTGGGAGGAACCGTGGACGCCCAGCGTCATGGAGGACCAGCCCAGAGCGGCTTCTCGGGCACAGAAAGGGCAAGGCCAGGGAGGGGTGCTGGGAGAGAAGGGGGCTGGGCGGGCAGGGCCTTACTCATTGGGCAGCTTCTCCACGTGCAGAGCGACCGAACCCGCCTCGTAGCCAAGCTGGTTGTTCTCTGGGACATCCATGTAGCGCTCAGTGTACCCAGTGTCGTAGGCCATCCACACCGTGACCGGGGCGCCTGCGATGGCCACCTGGGGGCCACAGCGGACAGGGCGTGGTTGGAGAGGCAGAGGCGGCGGTGGGGGGAGAGAGAGAGACACACACACAGGTCAGGTCTCTGGAGTCCTCGCCTGCCTGCCGGCCGTCCCTGGGGCCTCCCCCGAAGGACGTGAGGAGCGGGCATGCATGGGGGGGGTGGGGGGGCTGGCAGGGGAGGGGCCCTCGGACCGTGGGCCCGCCGTGGATCGTGGACAGAGCGCCGTCGAGGGAGGGCGGGTGAGCTGAACGAGTACGTTCAGGCCGCGATCGGCCCCTCCCTGGTCCCACCGCCTTCCTGCCTCCTCCTCCTCATCGCCGCCCCGCGGTGCCCTGACAGCGCCACCGGCCTGGGGGCCCCTCCCCCGACGCTCTTCACACCATGCCCCACCTCTGCCCATCCGAGGCTGGGGTCCCGGGCTCAGCCTCCCACAGAGAGCTGCTGGCAGGGTTTTGTGCAGCCGGATGCCATCCTGGGGTCAGCAGTGGCGGGCAATGAGGAGGGGGGCTCGGCCCCACGGGGCTGCTGCGGGGAGAAACAGCCACGTGGCAAGGCCCCTGCTGGGATGCCTCTCGGGGGGGGGGGTTCCGAGGGGCACAGGTGGGTGCCGGCACACAGGAACACAGGAGGGGGGACGGGCCGGGACCCACCTTGAACACCTGGGGTTTGTGGATCAGCCCCATAAGCGACAGGAAGCCTCCATACGACCAGCCGTGGATGGCGACCCGGCTCAGGTCCACGAAGCCGTACTTCTCGGCCACGAACTGCAATCCCTCGACCTGGTCCTCGATCTCCACCTGGCCCTGGGGGACAAGGCCGGGCACCTCTCAGAGGACTCCTTGCGCATGCGCGCCTGGACATCCCACCTCTGCCTCTTGCGGACCAGAGACAGGCCCAGCGCCAGCCCCGCCCCACCTCCCCCAGGCTGGCTCTGCGACCGTCACGTCCGTGCTCTGGGCCTCTGTCCCCTCATCCCTGTCAGCACAGTAGGGCCCGTTTTACAGCGGCCACAGAGGAAACGGGAGGCTGAGTGTCCTGCACTCAGAGGCTGCCACCTGCTAAGGGCTCAATGACTGTCACCTTCATCACCTCCATCCCCATCACCGCCATCCTCACCACCATCACCACCATCACCATCAGCACCACTTCTACAGCCACCAGTCCCTGTCCAGCCCTTGGGACGTCCTGCTGATGGCGGGAGTCGGGGGGGTCCCTGTACCGATGTGTCTATGTGTCTGGTTCATCTGGGCCTCAGGCACCAGCTGGGGTGCCGCTCAAATGGGAGCATCAAAGTGGACATCTGCCTTGGTTCCCACGGGTGCCCTCTTTATGGCGGGCACCCCAGCCAGGGCTCCCCCCAAGCCCCAGGGCGCCCCTCACCACACAGAAAGGCCCAGAGAGACGGTGATGACATGTTACCATTTGGTTCTTCAGGGCCCCTTCGAACCGAAGCCCTCGCTGACACGAGCCCCTGCCGTCAATCACGACCACGGCATAGCCCAGGGACGCCAGCGTGTTGAGCCGCAAGTACTTGATTCCTTTGAAGGAGTTATTCACCAGCTGCACCTGTGAGGGGAAGGCGAGGTGGGACATGGCGTTCTGGACAAGTGGAGAGGGATCCAGGGCGCGACACCACGCAGGAGGGGCTGGATGGGCCGGAGGCCAGCGGGACGGGGCTGGGGGCCTCACAGCCTCATCGAGGCTGCTGTACCTCACTGTGGGTGGCCCTGGAAGGGTTCCAGCCATGGGAGAGCAGGTCAGACGGGCCCACTCTGCACCACGCCTGTGCTTAGGATGTGCGGCAGAAGGGAGAGCTGCGATCAGGCTCCCTTCTCGGCTGCCGGCCTTCCCTGCAATTACTCCCTGATCCCTTCAGCCACAGTCCGGCCCCTTTCTACCCTGCGGTTACCTCTAAGAACACAGGCAAAACCTGCTGGTGCCAGGCAGCTGCGTGCCCTGTGTGACTTGACTGAATCCAGTCCTCGTTCTGGCCCTACTGATGTTTGCAGCCTTATCAGCCTCTGTCATGGGGGGCTATGTCCAGTACTGCAGGTTGTTGACTGTCCTAGCCCCTCCCCCCGAGCCATGATAACTACAAACGTCCCTAGACATCACCAAGTGTCCCCCGGGGGACAGAACACCCCCAGGTGAGAACTGCTGTCTTAGATGGACCCCAATTCCGATGCCACTGTCAGGGCCTGTCTTGTCCCCTTCTTTGAGAACTGGGCCTGGGGCCACCTCTGTCCCCAAGCTGGTGACCAGGGGGGAGAGTGGGTCACTGCTGGGCAGGTGGGCTGGAAGGACACATGGGGACTGGGCGGGGGGGGTTCCCAGAGGCACAAGGGAGCATCGGCAGGGGAAAGGGGAAGGGGGCTGTATGGGGAACGGGTGTAGAGACCCAGGGACCCCGTGTAGTCGGTGGGGACACGGCCTCCGTGCACCAGCCCTTCTTCCAGCCCGGCTGGTGCCCAAGTCCTGGCACGAAGGGGGGGTGGGAGTGGGGCTGGCACCCACCTGGGGGCCTCCGTACACAAAGAGAACAGTGGGGTGCTTCTGTCCGGGCTGCACGGAGTGCGGCTTGTAGACCATGCCGTACAGCTGCACGTCCGACCGCGTGTGGAAGTGGAAGATTTCCGGGGGCACGTAGTCCGGGGGGCAGCCTGCAGAGACACAGTGGCTATGGCTTCTGGGCCGGGGGTGCCCGCGAGGCTCGCTGGCTGAGACCCACGCCCCCTGTCGGGCCCTGGGTGCTGAGGGTGGACACGAGACACCTCGCCTCCTGTGGTTGAATCACAGCCTGAGGGCCGGAGGGGACTCTGGGCCTGAGTGTGTGCGGGGGAGGGAGGCGGGGGGCGGGCTGCGGCCCCAGCAGCTCCCCGACACCCTGTGGGGGCGTCAGCACCACTCCTGAGATCTGAGTAGCAACCAGTTTTATCGTCTGCTTTTCTGATTTTCTCCCTTGTTTTTGCCAAGTGACATTGGATTTTTCCGATCACGACAGTGATGCAAAACCTTTAAGCTTATCCTGAAGTTTACTGAGGTAAACAGAGAAAGTCAACTTGATAAGAAAATGGGGAAACCGTAACGTAGGTTGGGGGGTTGGCAAACACTCTTGTGTAAAAGGTCAGGTGATAAATATTTTTGGTTCTGTGTCTTAACCACACAGCTTTGCTGCTGTGGCCCGAATGTGGCCAGAGATGGCGCCTTAGTGACCGGGAGTGGCCAGACCTGGCCCACAGGCCCCAGCTTGCCACCTTCTCCTGAGATGCTCTATGGCAAGACTGGGAGTTTGGGGACATGGAGCACCAGTCCACCCGCCTGCAAGCCCGGGGACACCGGACTTCCCACTGCTGGCCCCCGGCCCCGGCTGTGCTCGGTGCCTGGTGGGACCCATCCTTCCCTGGGTCTCCCCGTCGGCAAGCCTGGGGGCAGAGTTCCTCCTCTGTCTCGTCCTGTGGGGACGTGGGGAGAGTCACAGACTAAGCTGGTCCCGGAGCGTGACAGTATACCAAGATGCTTTCCAGGCCACAAATGCCAGGGACTCTTATTACCTAGAATGTTCTGGAAAGCTCACAAACGGCAGCTCTGGGGTCAGGCAAGGGTGTCCATTTTAGCGAGTGGTTCCCGTGTGCCAGAGAGGCACGACACACTCCGCTTTCATCCCAGGGACACAGCTGAGGGCGCCTGACTGCTTGTGGATTCCCGCAGCCGGCAGCAGGCCTTGGGGCTACCTGAGCAGAGCCCTGGCCGCCCCGCAGGCTCCCAGGCAAACCGGAAGGTGCCTCCTGTCCCCCGAGGCCGTGCTCGTGCCCGCACCCCTGGCTCCTCCCACGCACAAAGACATCGGGACGTGCGCCCCTCACAGGTGCCCTCGGAGACGGCTGCCCGGGGCCTCCCCGCGTGTGGCAGCAGGTCGTGAAAGGAATCCAAGCCCTGTGCTGTGTCGTCCTTAAGTGCAGCACAGGAATTAGACGCCGTCAAGGTGGCAGGGCCACAGGACACTTGGGGCCGCCGGTAATGCCCAGTGAGGAGCTCTCAGGGCTCCAGGGTGGGGCCTGGCCCCCCTCGGCCTCGAAGTTGCTGGATCGGCCCCCTCTCTTCAGTGTTATCTAAGGGGGTACATTCCATTTCACAGGTGAGCAAGCGGAGGCTCCTGGTGAGGGGGTCGGGGCTACTCACTGGCTGCCTCCATCATGCTGGCCCAGAACCGGGGCTGCTTGTGCAGAGGGTCGTCGTCGGGGCCGCTCAGCTTATAGACGTGCACGCAGGGCGGCGTGCCCACACTGCTGTAGTGGCTGATGAACATGTCGAAGTTCTGCAGGGGGGACAGGGTGCTGAGCACTGCGCGACACCGGGGTCCCTCCCAGCGCCCGCAAACCCACTTATTGCCTTTGCCCCACGTGCCCACGTTAAGCTTCAAACTCCTCTGCTCGCGTGATGTGGGCACTACCACCATCACCCCCATTTCACAGAGAAGCAAACTGAGGCCCCAAGGGATCGGTCCTCCGCCAGGGACACACCCCCTCCCCCCACTCACATTGCTCGCTCTACAGCCAGCAAATTACTACCATGCGCTTTTGTCCTGGACCAGAAGTAGCCCCATGCACCATCACTGCCTGACCTTCTAGAATGTTCCCAGGGGCTAAGGGGGGGTGGGAGAATGGCGGTGGCAGGCGCGGTGAGGGAGTGCCCACCTGGCTCATGGAGCAGCTGTGGGAGAAGCCAGGCGTGGTCAGGCGCACGATCTCGCCAGCGGACTCGTAGCTGACCGCATACAGGTGGTGCTCCAGGGGCGTGTCCTTTGTACCTTGGAAGTACACCAGCTTGGTCTCCTCGTTGACCCAGATCTGCGGGGGGCACAGGGGCTCCTCGTGAAGCAGCCCTGGGCCGGGCCCTCAACTTCCCAAGCCTCTGCTCCCACGGCGGCGGTGGGGGGGAGGAGGCGGGCGCCCCGTGGAGGGACCCAGGCCCTTCTCCCTGGCCCTGGGGGGAGGCCCCGGGGTCCCGTGGGCGGGAGATTGGTCCTCGGCCCAGCATCTGTAGCCCGGCAGCCGGAGAATAGCTGTCTGGCAGAGAGGTGCCTCTTGGAGCTGGCGGGGCAGGAGTGGACGGCGATCTAACTGAGCTCACCGCATGGCCCCCTGGGGACTCGAACTCGGAACGCCAGCCCCAGACAGAGGGCACAGTGCCTGGGATGGAGGCTGGGAGAGGGGCTGGCCTTGTCCGAGGGCCTGCTAGCGCCGGCCCTGGTCCCCCAAGGGGTCAAACGCCCCCTTGGGAAGAAGTGGCAACCGGGCCCTGACCCCTATCCGACTCCAGGGTGATGTTTATAGGCCTCGGTCTGGGAAAAGCAGGAAAGAGCCCTGTTCTGGGGAACAGAAGCCCCACGGCCATTCTGGGGCCAACCTGGCAACACGGAGGCAAAACACGTAAAAAAGACGTGTCCTCTGACGCAGCAATTATGTTCCTGGGAACCATTCCTGAGAGCTCTGCCGTGTTCTTAATACTCAAAGACAACGACCTGAAGGTCCAAGAGGACAGATGGGTTTCGAGGTTACGGCACAGGTCCCTGCGGCCACGCAAAACCGTTATTTTCTGGGGCGCCTGGGTGGCTTAGTTGGTTAAGCGTCCGGCTTTCACTTAGGTCATGATCTCGCGGATCGTGGGTTCGAGCCCCGCGTCGGGCTCTGTGCTGACTGCCAGCTCGGAGCCTGGAGCCTGTTTCAGAGTCTGTGTCTCCCTCCCTCTCTGACCCTCCCCTGCTCATGCTCTCTCTCTCTCTCTCCTAGAAATAAATTTAAAACAAACAAACAAACCGTATTTTCTGAAACAAAACCCAGCAAAAAGCACCCTACAGAGCCTAAAACAACGTCCCGTGGAGCCGTGTGCAAACAGAAAAGATCCATCGGGGCTCCCCCTGTAGTCGGCCACCTCCAAGGGGAAGAGGGCACGGGAGTGAGGGGTGAGGGGAAGAGGGCACGGGAGTGTGGGGTGAGGGGAAGAGGGCACGGGAGTGTGGGGTGAGGGGAAGAGGGCACAGGAGTGTGGGGTGAGGGGAAGAGGGCACGGGAGTGAGGGGTGAGGGGTGAGGGTGAGAGGAAGAGGGCACAGGAGTGTGGGGTGAGGGGTGAAGGCCTTCCCAGCTTAGGGCTCCTCAGAACGGTTCAGTCTGGACGACAAACTAAGGTATCTGTTGTGTCCTTTCCAAACAAATGAAGGTTTTCTAGAAACAGAGGACGTCATTGGAAAACCCCCAGCCCTGGGCAGTCATTTGCTGGTTTTGTCACAAGGGTCCAGTGAGAAGATGCACATGATGAAGGCGCGTGGGACCCTCTGAGGTCCCGAAAAAGCGCAGGCGGCACAGTGTGCGCAGAGCCTCCGGAGGGGACCCAAGAGGCCGTTCTTGCTCCGTGAAAGTTTAAAATGCAGCTGCTGTCAACTATACTTCAGTGAAAAATAAAATGAAACGGGGGGCGCCTGGGGGACTCAGTCGGTTGAGCGTCCGATTTCAGCTCAGGTCAGGATCTCACGGTTCGTGGGTTCGAGCCCCGCGTCGGGCTCTGTGCTGACAGCTCAGAGCCTGGAGCTGCTTCCGATTCTGTGTCTCCCTTGCTCTCTGCCCCGCCCCCACTCATGCTCTGTTTCTCTCTGTCCCAATAATAAACATTAAAAAAACCTTTTTATAAATACATAAAATTAAAATGCTGTCATGGCTTTTTTTTTTTAATTTCTAGGTAAAAACCCAGATGAGCAAACACCGTAACCCCCCCCGCGGTAGAGGAAAGGGAGAGTCTTGGCTGGTGGGTACACGAGTACACGAGACGCTGCGCTGGGGGCTTCGAGTTACTTTAAAGTGCCCCCGGGGGACATTCGGCGATGTCCAGGGACGTCTGTGGTTGCCATACCTGGGGCAGGTGGGCAGTGCTATAGGGGCACAGACCCTGCCAGCAAGATGAGCAGACTCCAGAGCACTCTGATGGCCCCATTTTACAGATGAGGAACGTGAGCATTACCCCCCCAACCCCCCCCAGCTGCAGAGGCCCAGGCGGCGCCTCTTCGAAAGAATCAACCAGAGCAGAGCAAACAAGGCCGCCTTCCACCTTCCGGTACCGACCTTCCGACCTCGCCTCACGAATAAGACAGGAGTGTGAGATCTGACGGAATCAGGGCCTACGTCCTGCACGCTGCCCCTACTGGCTTCCTTGCCAGGATTCACGGGGCTGCCCTTCCGAGTCCGTGAAGGGGCGAGTGGCCACGTGTGGTCACGCTCTGACCAGCAGCCGTGTCTACGGCACCTGGCCCTGCCCGCTCAGGTGTTCACTAGCCACTACTGCCCACGGCACGGACCCCACCGAGGCACACACGGGTGCCAACGGTGCCAACGTCCCCCGCGTCTGCCTTTGGTCCAGGGGGCATTCATGCTGGTGTGAGGCAGGGGTGCGGGAAGTCTGCCTAGGAGCTCTCTCCACCGGGCGCCCGGCGGGCTCTGTCAGTTCCGCGTCCCGCTTTGACTCAGGTGAGGATCTCACGGTTCGTGGGTTCAAGCCCCATGTCGGGCTCTGTGCTGACAGCTTGGAGCCTGGAGCTGCTTCAGATTCTGTGTCTCCCCCTCTCTGCCCCTCCCCAACTTGTGTATGCTCACGTGCTCTCTCTCTCTCAAAAATGAAATAAAACAATAAAATAAGCATTAAAAGAGCTCTCCGTCACATTTGGAATTTTGTAGAACTGGACTCAGGTGAAGAAGATTGGGTCAGAGGCAGGTCCTGGCGTGTCCCCATGAGGGCCAGGGGCCGCAGGACAATGCCACCACAGGCCGAGTGCCCCACACACTGCTCCCCAGAAAGCTGTGGTTTCACGGAGCGGGAGAAGGCTAACGGGAGGCAACAGGTGCCCAGAGCCGGGTGAGGCAGCGCAGAGGAGGGGAGAGAGGAGCCACAGGCAAGGTCCGCAGGGCAGCTGAAGCGTGCGCACGCCCATGTCTGTGCACATGTGTGTGTACAAGCGCGCGTGCGGGGCGGGCGGGGAGGGTTGCAAAGAGATGCTGGTACCTTGGAGCCGTGCCTCGCCAAAACCTCCCACTCGCCGCTAGTCAGCGCGATCTCCTCCTTGATGGGGCATTTAAATTCATCTGTAAGCAAGGAGAGCAAGAGGTGAAGGGGGCCCCAGGGAGCCGGGAGGGGACCTAAAAGACGCCGAGGCCCAACGCCACCGGGGCGAACCCGTCCCGGAGCCCAGTCGACCCGGGCCCAGTGGGAGGCGGGGCTGAGCCTGAGCCCGGGAGGGGGCGGGGCCATGGGCGGGGCCGGGTCCCATGCGGGCATCTCCTGGGAAAACCAGACTTCTGGGGTTTTTTATTGGAAGCACCCATTTTAGAGCCCTGCTCCGCCCAAACCGGCAGCTTCGTGACCTCTTAATACACGTTAGGTTTTAGAGAACAAGATCTTGGTTAGAACACTTTGAGTGAAGGCTCAGCTGAGTTCCTATGACCGACTTTTGGGGGTTTTTTGGGTTTGTTTTTTTTTTGGTAGATTTCACTTCTGAATTTCCATCTGGCAAATAACTACGGGATGCTAGCTAGCACATATTACAAATTTATTAAGACAGTTTAGTGACGGTTGTGCCCACCTGACACCAGCTCCTGGTGCAGAGATCTGGGCCCAGAGGTGGGTCCCAGCTGGATCTGGGTGGGAGGGGCGCTCCTCCCGAGGCCCCCACTCCTGGAGACTGGCCACGCGGACTTCTTGCTCATTCAGACCCTTACCGGCGCCCGTTCTGTGTGGGGCCTGCAGCGAGCGGGTGCAGGGCCGCCGTAGATGATCCCCCCTCTAGGGGAGGACCCAGTGCACCCGCCGACAGCTGACCATGCACCGCCCTCCCGGCCGCCGCATCCCCTCGGGCTTCCGGGTCCAAGGCCGTGCTTCTCAGTGGAGAGGCCGCCGACCACACCTTCTTGGCCCTCTCTCACAGGACCCCTGGCTGCGAAGGACACCTCACGCGGCCTGGACACGCCGCTCCTGTCTGTGACCCCACTTCTGGCTGGTGCTCCAGGCCCTTGACCTTCCCTCCTCTTCCCCAGGCACCCCGATGGCACCTTTAAAGAACTCATGCCTTCTTGGCCACCCAACTGCTGCCTGGCGGGCATGAGCCACGTGAGGGTAAGTGCGAGCTGGGCACCAGGCAGACCGCGCGGGGTGGGTGGGAAACGTGTGCCCACCGCCAGGCAGGAGGTCCCTGAGGGGTACCTGCCGCGGGCTCCGCCCAGCGACCTCCACAGGCAGGAGTGGGGCTCCCGAGCTTAGAGCAGCGGGGGGCGGCTGAGTCAGAGAAACAGACGACAGACGACGCGAAAGCACCACAGCAGGGAGCTGCCGGAATCCCGCCTTCGGGACGGCCTAGCCAGCCTGTGCCTCCTGTGTTACACCCCGAGTGGCAGCAGCGACAGGTCCCCAAGACAGCAGTCGCTCCTCTGTTCCCGTCTCACTCGTGCCCCCCCAGTTCGAGGCTCTCCTGTTCCTGACGCTGGGCGTGGCGCCCTGGACGCCATACACTCTCAGGCCTCCATTCCCCTGGGGGCACTGCCTCTAAAGGGGGGGACACCAGGCGATGTCACGACCCCGGGGGCTCCTGCATTGAGTGGGTGGAGGTCAGGAATGCCGCTCAGTCCCCAATAGAGCCCAGGAGGCCCCCCACTGAGGACCACCTGGCCCAGCGGACACAGCCTGAGGGGCTCCTGCTGGCTCTCAGCCCACGTGGCTTCCCAGCCTTCAGAGCCCCGTCCCGCCCGAGGCTGAGATGCCATCTGCGTGGGGACAGCCGCCCGCCCTCTGCGGGTATCTCCCGGCACGCAGACCTGCCTGCACAGCACACCCACTCCCCGGCACATCGACGTGAACACAACCAAACCCCAACCGGACGTTTCTCTCTGAAGTCTGTGCCTCCCACGCTCTATCTGTGTCGCGCTCCCAGGCTTTTCCTCCTCCTCTCTCATCCCTACATGCGATCCACCAGCAGATGGCAGACTCGGACGCCAAAGTGCATCTAGAACGGAATCCACCTGGGCTTGTCCAGCCTGCTGCCTGGACCCATCGCTGCTCCTTGCCCCCCAGGAACGTCTTGAAACTGATGTCAGATCAAAAGTAAAAGCCCAAGTCCTCCCCAAGGCCCCGTGTGACCAGCCCTGCCCTCCGCCCCCCTCCATCTCCCCTGCTCACTCTTCTCCCATCCACACCGCCCTCCTTGCTGCTTGTCCAACAGGCCAGGCAGCTACTGCCCCAGGACCTCTGCACAGGCCGTGTCCTCCAGTGGGAATGATCTGTGCGGCGGCCTTGGCCACCTGTGCTGGTCTCTGTTCGTGACATGTGATCCCTGTGCTAGAAGAAGGCCCCTCACTCTCTATGCTCTTGGGCTGCCACGCTCCTCACCCCCGAGGTGGGCTCTTCACCTGCTTCTGGGTGTTTGCCTGCCTCCTCCACTAGAGAGTTCCATGAGAGCCGGGATTTCCTTCCTCCTTTTAGCATCACAGCCCTGGCGCCCAGAGCAGGGGGTGGCCGCTTTTCCTATAAAGGGCCCGACAGCAAATAGCTTCAGCTTTGCAGGACGTGTGTCACACTGCCGTCACCCTACTCAACTCTGTCATCGTGGCAGGACATTAGCCACAGACAGTCCATCAGTGAATGAACATGACCATGTGCCAATAAAACTTTATTTGCAAAAACGGGCAGTGGGCCAGATCTGATCTGTGGCTGTGGTGTGCCGACCCCTGGTGCGAGAAGGGCCTCGCATGTGGTAGGTGCTAAATAAATGCTACTGAAGGCACGAATTGACAGCTAGCTGTGATGACCCCTGCCAGGCTGTGAATGCTGTTCGGGAAAGACTGGCTTTTTACTCCTCCTGCCTCCCCCCTCCCCCCACACCCTTCACGGGACTGGTCCCAGCCACAGACAGTGTCAGGCAGCCTTTGCTCACCTTCCCCGGGGCTGAAGGGCTCACTCCAGTCGTAGCCACTGGGCTTTAAGATGGCGGTGACCTTGTACAAGTGGCAGAAGCCAGTCTTGCACTCGTTGGCTCGGATGAAGCAGAGCTCGCCCTCTCCCTCTGACTGGGGGAAGGGGTAGAAGATGTCGTGAACCTGTCCAGGCAGAGGAGAGAATGTGCATCAGAAGGCGGGGCGCCGACAGGTGGCCAGGCTGACATGGAAGGCAAACTCAGCCCTCCCGCCCCCAGCAGACTCCCCGCACCCCCCGGCTCCGCCCAGCTGGGGATGTGGGGGCCCAGGCGGGGCGTCCACCCGGCACCTCCCCACGCTTACGTTGATCCACACATCGGTGACCTCCTCGTACACCACGTATGGCTGGACGTCCCTGGGCACGGCTCTGGCCAAGGCCGCCCGCTCCTCCTCGCTCTCGGTGGCGGGGATGAACAGGGCCGGGGGGAGGAGGACGAGCTGGAGCCGCTGCTGGGGCCGGTCCAGGAACATAGCCCAGGCACTGCGACGGCGGGGAGAGAGGCCGGAGGCCTTAGCACCCAGCAACGGAAGCCGGGTGAGACGCCTCCCTTTCCAAACGCGGGGCCTCAGGACCTCTCTTCCTTTGGCGACCTTGCCTATGCCTGACCACGCAACCCCGCGGCTCACGAGGGTCTCTCGGCGAGCACGTGCCCTCCAGAGAAGACCGGGGGCAGCAGGACTCTGTAGCCGAACCATTCTGGAAACCTCTCACGTCATTAGGGCCTAGAGCAGCATTTCAAGAAGGTTCGCACTTCCTGCCAAATCCTCGGCCCACATTCACTATCCTTTATTTCCTGTTTTGCTCTGAATAAAGAATGTTTTTTGGGGGGAAGTAAATTATTTATTCTGTCAAACACGAGTCCTTAAGGACTAGGGACAGAGGCAGGCAAACAGCTCCTTAAAAAACAAAAACAAAAACCATGGGGAAGGGGGGCACCCACCCAGCTCAGTCGGTGGAGCGTGCGACTCTTGGTCTCGGGTCGTGAGTTCGAGCCCCGTGTTGTGTAGACATGGCTTAAAAAAATCCTGTTTGGGAAGTACTATGTCTTCACGTTCTGTCCTCAAAACAACTATTTGGAAATGAAACGTTTTAAAACTGAGGGAAAAAAAGGTTTCTGTACTTTTTTTAATTTTTTTTTTAATCTATTTTTGAGAAAGACAAAGTGTGAGTGGGGGAGGGTCAGAGAGAGGGGAGACACAGAATTGGAAGCAGGATCCAGGCTCTGAGCTGTCAGCACAGAGCCCCACCCGGGGCTCAAACCCACAAACCGCAAGACCATGACCTGAGCCGAAGTCGGTTGCTTAACCGACTGAGCCCCCCGGGGGGCCCCTGCACCTTTCCCAACTGTAAATGGACAACGTGCTTTGCACAGAGATGTCGGTACCCTAAGGAGACAAGCTGAATCTCGACGTAACCACAGCAGAGAGTGAGGTCAGGGGGATGGGAGGTGCCAGCCAGAGCCCGCCGCCCGCAGCAGGCACAGCGCCTGGGTCCAGGCCGCCTCCGGGGGGCAGGGGCCGGCGAGTTAGTCCTCCAGCGCCCTGCGCCACACAGGTCCTTTTAAAAGCAGCTGTCAACCCCGCGACATGGCGGGAAAGCAGCCATGGAGAGTGCACACGCCACTGAGTGTGGCCCCGAGCCCATAAAACTTCCCCTACAGACGCTGAAGCGGGACTTTCGTATCATTTCCGTGTGTGATGAAACATTCTTGTTCTTTGGGTTTTCTGACCCCTGACCGTCTCACAAGCTTGAAAGCCACTCTTGGCTCCTAGGGGCCAATAAGGAGTCGGGCATCGGGCCGCGGAGGCTCGTCCTCGACATGGCGGAGGAGGGGTCACCGGGCGAGTGACGAGGCAACACTCACTATTTGCCGTCCCGGGTCCAGCCGGCCCTGGCGATGTACTCCACCCTGGGGAAGAGCGTGCTGAAGGGCTGCACCAGCTCCTTCTCCTGGGCCGCCACGATCTAAAGGGAGAGCACACTCGGGTCACGCTTGGGCCTGACCATGTGTCGCCTGGGAGGAGACGGCCGCTGCAGGGGTAGAGAGGGGCAAGGGGGCAGGATACTGAGTCCCCAAAATCCTTAGGTCGGGGTCCCGACTCCTGGTGCCTCAGAAGGGGCCTTATTGGGAAATAGGGTGGCCGCTGGTGCCACGCAGAGGACACCTTGTGATGAAATGCAGGGAGAAGGCAAGGCGGGGGCCCACGAACAGATCCCTCGAGGCCACAGGAAGGGCCAGCCGGCCCGCAAGTTGCGACCAGCCGTTCATCCTCCAGAGCCGGGGGGGGGCGGGATATGCTTCTGTTGTCTGAGCCCCTGGCACGTGGGACTCTGTCAGGACAGCGTGTTGGCTGGGGTCTGAGGGCTCTGGTCGGGGCTGTCACCATAGAGCCGGGCAGCCTTGGGCATCACAGCGCCCAGCTCCGGAGGACACCCTGGCCTCACGCCCGCTTCAGGACCCCACTGCTCTGCTGGACCAAGAACCACTTTGCCAGCAGAAGCCTCAGCGAGGCCACCTGATGTCGGGTCGGTGTAAGATCTGCCAGAACGTTCTGGTACAGAGCGCAGAAAGGGTTTTGTTGGGGCCTAGTCCTTCCCAAACCCAACCCTAACCCCCAATCATGAAAGGAAACGTGTTCTATCTTGCGCCTTTTCCGAAGCCTCACGCGGAACGTCACTGCGGCACGAATCTGCCGGACCTTCTGCGGCCTGAGTGCTCGGACCTGTGACACGCGGCCGTTCTCCTTCCGACCCAGCATCCCCTCTGCCTTTCTCCGTTATAGCCTCTCTTGCCCTCCTGGCTGTGGGGGCCTGAGCAAGTGTTCCCTGGGCGCTAAGGACACTCGCTGTCACCACTGACCGCTCTGGTGAAGTTATCCGTGAGGGCCTGCCCGACCCCCGGGGGGCGGGCGGAGCTCCAGTCCCCCAGACGACTACCCAACGGAGCTCTCTGTTCCAGAGACTGTTCCGGAAGCCCCTGTGGGACCTTCTGCTCAAGGTCTTGCTCATCAGTACCACCTCCTCATGCTCAGGGCCACCGGGAGGCAGTGAGGCTGGGCCCACCACCCGGTTTTGAGCCCGAGGCAAAGAGTATTGGGGTGCTACAGAGGCAGGGCCATTTCGGGTTTGATGGGCCAAGGAGAGCACGTGCCCCTGGAAAGGGGACAAGCGGCTCGCTGACATCACCCACCATCCCCTGTCCACACCCGCTACGCCAGCCCCACCCCGCCTCACCCGGAAGCTCCTCCACGCTTACCTTGCCCTGGCTGTCGGTCTGAAACTCGGCCAGCTTGAGGGCGATCTTGGGGTTCTTGCTGCCTGCAGAAACGGAAGGGAGGTGAGGCCGGTGGGTGTCGCCCCAGAGGGCTGAGCGCAGCTGTTCAGGGCGGAGGTTGTGGGGCGAGACCAGTTGGGGGGGGGGGGCGGGGCAGGTATCCAAAGGTCTCTCCGTGGGTGCGTCAACTCTCTGGTCCAGGCACAAAGTCCCTTGGGCAGGCCTTTCTGACTCTGGCCCTGACCTTGTTCCGTGACAAGCGTCTTCACCATTTAAGAACACAGGCCAGACGCCGTGCCGGGTGGGAAGGCAGGTTGTGGGGGACAAAAACGGAAAGAACGTGGCTCCCCGCCTGTGGAGAGCCTGGGAGTTGGTCGCAAAGACGGGACACATCTGTGCTAAGACCATCACCAATGCAGACGGGTGCGCCCTGAGCGGTCGGGAGGCAGGCGGCTTGCTGGCTGGGATGACCCAGCGGCCCCTCCAGGGATGGGCATGGGTCCGGCTCCAGCTACTGTTACGATCAGTATCAGTCCCGCCCTGGCCTGCAGCACTCGCCCTCCACCAGGGCAGGCAGCACCCCTGAGCCTCAGTTTCCCACCCGTCCGGCGGGGTAGGAGGGGCCGACCTTTCCCGCCTATGCTGAGGACTGATGTGTCCTGGGAAGGCCCTGTCAGTGGACCACACAGTAGGCGCTTACCACCTGCCTCCCAGGGGACCAAAACCAGCCCGAGTCTGGCCCACACCACACTTCGTATTGCTCACTAGGGATTTTTAAATAATTCGAGGAGCATTTAAGAAGTGGCCGTTTCTTTTTCTTTTTTTTTTTTTTTAATTTTTTAATGTTTTATTTATTTCTAGGAGAGAGAGAGAGAGAGAGAGACAGCGTGAGCAAGGGAGGGTCAGAGAGAGAGGGAGTCACAGACTGAAGCAGGCTCCAGGCTCTGAGCTGGCAGTCAGCACAGAGCCCGACGCGGGGCTCGAACCCACGAACTGCGAGATCATGACCTAAGCGAAAGTCGGACGCTTAACCGACTAAGCCACCCAGGCGCCCCATGAAGTGGCCGTTTCTTGAAGAAACCTGCGTTTCTGGCCTCATTAAGAAACAGGGCAAACTCGAGCCCGCATTCCCCCAAGGTGACAAATACCCTACATGCCTTGGAGGGGGCCCGTACCCCCTCACGGCCCCCCCGCACCGTCCCCCCAGGGCCCCGAGGCAGGGAGCAGGCGCCCCAGGCCGTGGCGGCGGCCCTGCTGCCGTCCTCGGGCCCGGCCAGCCTCTCCGGGCCCTGTGTGGTGCACGCGTGCCCCGGGAGCCCTGGACCGCAGCCCAGCGCCCTCACCTGTCCTGGGGTAGCGGTAGGAATCCGTCTTCCTTTCCTCCAGCGCAGGAGAGGGCACGTGAATGATCTCCACCTCGGACTCGTCAACTTCCTCGTACAAGATCCGCAGCGTCTTGCAGCCTTCAGGACCTGGAAGGAGCAGGGGGAGCTGCTGGGAGCGCCACGCACCGTGCCGTCACCTCACCCCCTCTCGCACGCATGGGGACCCAGATATGACGGCAGGGCCCGGACAAGAGCCTGGGCCCCGGGGCTAGAAGCCAGGCTCTGCCGGAACCCCGTCACATCTCATCCCAGGGCCTCAGTGTTCCTACCTGCACAGTGGGAAGGAGAACTCAAATGGTACGAGAGGCGGCCCTAGGTGGTACTGCGGGGCTGAACTGAAGTCCCCTGTTGGGCGCCCCCAGCACCTCAGGATGGGGCTGGATGTGGAGAGGGTGTCAGAGGGGTGACGAGGCTTAGAGAAAGTCATCAGAGCGGCCCCCCTATCTGACCAGTGTCCTCAAACAAGAGACAAGGCCACAGACACACAGAGGGATGACTGCCTGGGGACACGGGGAGAAGACGGCCGCCGAGGAGGAAGCAGCCTGGGGACACCTGGTGGCAGACTTCCCGCCCCCGGGACCAGGATGGTAAACACCTGCTGTTGGGCCGCCGCATCTGTGGGGCTTGGCTCTGGCGGCCCAGACCCTGCCTCAGGCTTGTGTCCACCCGCCCTGCAAGGGGCGCTCCTGGCCTCCGACTCTGGCGGCCAGGAAGAAGGCCCCTGGGTGGCCGTGGACGTGGCTGAAGAAAAGCCCCAATCCTCCATGTCCAGGGGGCTGACGGCCTGGCATCAGGGGGCTCTGCCCGCGGGGTTCTGAGCCGCACCAGCACGCCAGAGCAAGGGCCTCTGAGATCATCCAGACCAGCGGGTCCCAAGCAGGGGCTATTCTGTGAGCCCAGGGGTCACCTGCGGCAGCCAGAGCCCAAGGGACACCTCAAGGAGAGGTCAGGGGTGCTGCTCAACACCTCACAGTGCTCTCAGGGCGGCCCCCAGCACAGAGGATGATCCTGCCTGGGACCCAAGGTGCTGAGGGGGAGAGACCTGGTCCTTGGCTGACGAGCCCACCTCGCTGACCAGGACGCTTCTGGGTGCAGGGAGCCACAGGCTGAATGAGCGGACACTGGACCCTGGCTTCAGAGGCACAAGCCCTGGGGGTACACGCCACGCGGCAGCGCCCCGAGGGCCCCGGCCCGCGTGGAAGGAGAGGTCACGGAGCTCTCCCCTGTAACCTGCGACCCGGCCTGCGGCTCACGCAGGACCAGGAGGCCTCAGGCATCCCTCTGATGGGGCTTAAACACATCGCACTGGCTTGTCTGTATCACAGGATTTAGCATCTTGCTTCCACGATGCGAGGACCGTAAAGTCTTCCTCTTAAGTCGATTTTAAGGACAAGGCGAGTCAAAGAGAGGCAAGAGCGAACAGGAGACGGGGCTCTGAGCACAGACAGCCAGAGCCCGGCACCCGGAACAGCGCAGCGGAAGCTCACAGGGCTACGAAGGCCACAGAGAAATCAATTAGCAGCGCAAGAAGGCATGATGCTCCTGGCACATTCCAGAAACAAGTCCCCACCCGAAGACGGATTTTGCCTGGCCGAACACTGGAGGGGACAAGACACTTCCACGCTACGAAGACAGAGACACAGACATAAAAAGACCCACTGGTCTGGCTTCTTCCTTTATAAACAGCCAATCCATCAAGATCTAAGCCGGAGGCGGCGTCGGCTCAGCTCTCCTACGGTGGGGCTTTCTCTGCGGCAGGACTCAGGCTCCTCGGGCCTGCTGACGTTTGGGGCTGGATCCTCCCCTGGGGAGGGGAGGGTGCGGAGGAGCACCCCTGCCTCCTGCCCACTAGATACCCATAGCCGCCCTGTCGCGACAACCACAACGTCCCCAGATGTTACCCGGTGCCTCCAGGGAGCAGAATCGTTCCTGGTTAAGTATCACTGAGAAACTCCCAGATCAGAACGTGCATATAAAAACGTTCACTGGAGCGCCGTTTACCACAAAAGACAAAATCCAAACCCAAAACCAGACACAGCCCAAGCGTCCGTGGCACGGAGCTGGTTAAGCACACCGTGGTCCGTCCTCACCCCGGCGACACTTGGTCATTAAAGTCCTCTGTGTCCCGACTGCAATGGACAGAGTTCGTATCCCCGCATTCAAATCTCAAATCCTCCCCAAGGGCGCTGGTATGGGGAGCTGGGGCCTCCGGGAGGGGACTGGGTCAGGGGATGGGACCCCCAGGAATGAGACGCGTGTCCTCCTGACAGAGGCCCAGAGACAGCGCCCTGGCCTCCTGCCTGGGAGCACGCGGGGGGGAGGACGGTGCTCAGGGGACCAGGAAGCGGGTTCTCAACAGACACCCAATCTGCCGGCTCCTTGGCCTTGGCCTTCAGCCTCCAGAACCCGGAGCGATAAATGTCTGTTGTCCACCAGCCACCCGGGTCTGAGGTGTCCTGTCAGCAGGGCCTGCACGGCTTGGGACACGACTATCCCTAGAAAGGCTGCGGAGATTTGGTTTACGTGAAAAGGGCCGGGGGCAGAAAGGCAGGCAGGCTGTGGCCCCGTCAACAAAAGGAAGGAACGCGCGTGGAGGTGCTTTCGGAAACGCGAGGGCACCTACCCTCCCGGGAGGCAGCAGGGCACCACCAGTAGCCGGTGAAGCGGTCGAATTCTTCCTGGATGACGAAGGTGGCCACACCCGCGGACCTAGGGTCGTCGAGGACACTGGGTGAGCCTGGAGGGGAGAGAGCCGGGTGCCGTGAGGAACCCAGGGCACAGACCCCAGGAGTCGGATGGCCGGGGGGGGAGGGTGTTCGAATGAGCAGAGGCAGAACAAGCGCCTGGTGGGGGCACAGGCCACTGTGGCTGAGTCACACGGAGGCCACGGCGGGGCCCCACAGGAAGGGCACTAGGGGGGCCTGGGGGGCGCAGTCGGTTACGCGTCCGACTTCGGCTCAGGTCTCGCGGTTTGTGAGTTCGAGCCCCGCGTCGGGCTCTGTGCTGACAGCTAGCTCAGAGCCTGGAGCTGCTTCAGATCCTGTGTTCCCCTCTCTCTGCCCCTCCCACGAGCATGCTCTGTCTCTCAATGATAAATAAACGTTAAAAAAATTTTTTTTAAATAAATAAAAAAGGAAGGGAACCGGGATGGCAGGGTCTAAGAAAGCGCCTGGTGGTCCGGGGTAACGGAGTAGGAATGGGGGCCTCCTGGGAGCCGCTGCGGTGGCCAGGGTGGCCATCCACACGTGTGTCCACCCAGGACGGGAGCAAGCCCCTGGCGCGGCCTCACCTCTGTGGCAGAAGGTCAGCCGCCGCTCCTCGCCCGTCTCAAGGTTGGCCACCCACAGGTCGTTATTGTTGATGAAGGAGAAGAAGGCAGGGTCAGCAGGGCAGATCTTGGGGTCCATGCGGGGCCCGGTGCACTGGGTCTTGATCTCCAGGGGCTTCATGGGGGACACCTGGGAACACAGAGGGCTGGCTCAGGGGGACAGAAAGCTGCCTGGCTGCCCACCCCGCCCCCAGCCAGGGGCCAGGGCTCACCATGAAGCCATTTTTGCCCCCGTCGCGACAGTGAAAGAGGCTGTTGCTGGCCTGGAATAGGAAGAGGCCACTCTCGCTGTGGAAGTCGTAGGAGGTGATGCCGAAGACCCCCAGGCGCTTCCGCTCCCGAAGGAGCTCCTCCTCTCGAGAGTAGACTCCGTGCTGGGGAGTGGCCTGGGGACGGGGACGCAGAAGGGGCACCGTCAGCAGCCAGGAACCCGGCGCCCTGGGCATTCCTGGGAGGGGTCTGCATCTCTGCCAGGGGCCCACACCAGAAGGGACTTTCTGCTGAGCACTTTCCGCAGGGGGCTCCCCAACCAGGCAGCCAGAGCGCCCCCTCCCCCACAGGAGATGGGTTGAAAGGCTCTGGCCTCACCTGAGGCTCCCTCCTCTCTTGGCCTATCTCTGGGCTCACTTGTGCCCACATTTGCCCAGAGATCCTCTCCAAGGAAGACGGGGCTGCCCACGGTGCCCTCCCTGGTCCCCAACGCCCTCCCTCCCGCCCGGATCGCCGCCCATCCGCCCAGAGCTGCTGCTCCCTTCCAGCCAGGCCCCCCGGGCCACCCAAACACCCGGCCCTGGGGGGTCTGGGCGAGCAGACACCGCGGACACCGCGCAGCGGCCCCGACGGGAGCTCTGAGCACAATGTGGAGGTGCAGGCGATGCTGCTGACAAGAAACGCCATGTTTGAAAACCAGAACCTTGAGTGCAGTGACCCCTGCCCGGTGGGATCGGGGCAGAAGCGCGGGCGGCCGTGTGTGCGTGGAGAGGTGCACCACCGCGTGTTGCCACGGTGCCATCACAACCAAGGAGTCAACGTAAAGCACAACAATAGGCACCCTCGCCCCTCCCTCACCAGCCCTCTTCTCCTGGGGAGCCGACCCGGGATGACGTTAATTATTAGCCGAGTCTCCGCTTCAGGGCCTCAGCCCAGGCTGCTTCTGAGACTTGAGTGAGGCATCAAGAAGGAAGAGGCACTTCGGATAAGAGCTCTAGTCAGAGTCGTGCCCTGGGGCTGGGGCATAGACGGGAGGTGGCCGGGCCGCTACTGGCCACAGGGCTGGGTCCCGCACCTGTCTTTCTGGCCCGCAGGCGGCGCCCAGGGCAGCGCACGGCTCACCTGGAAGTGATCCAGCATTTGTTTCCAGGACAGGAGCAGCAGGGCCTCCTTCCGGACCTTCCTGGGGATCTCTGAGTAGAGGAGGGAGTTCTCGCGGCTGCCGTAAGGCATCCCTTGGGGAGAAGAGAGAAAATCCGGAGTGGGTGACCTCACCCAGGGCAGGGTGAGGGTTTGGGGCAAGGGCTGGTCTCAGCCGTGACTCTGGCTCCCCTGGGCTGGGCCGGCTGGTTCCGCTTCGCACTCCCCCTCCCGGTGTGCAGCCCTCCCCACAGACACTGCGGCCCTGGGTTCGAGCACATTAGCACCAGTAACGGGGGGTGGGGGAGGGGGGATTCTTCCACGCCTGAGAGGCTGGGACAGACAGAGAAGAGAAGGTGTCAGTGCAACCCCACCCCCAACAGGTTAGGCTCTGGTCTCAGGATCCATTCCTGTTAAAGGCTTTGGCGGAGGCCAAGGATTAATCCAGGATTGGAGAGCAAGCGTCGGCAGGGAGCCGGGACACGCGCCCCGCCAGCCCCCACCGCTCGACGCCAGGAGCGCCTCTGAGGCTATGGCGACATCCCTGGACGCTGCCCACTGGCCCACTCTACCCCGCCTGCGAGGATGGAAGCTGCCCGGCAAGGATTCTGCATGGACGAAACGAGCAGGACGCAGATGCACACGTCACGTGGAATCCCGGAGAGAAGGGGGCCATTCCGCCAGCGAGTTGACGGGTTTTCGCCTTCTTGCTTCTCGGCTGCGTCTTACTGTCAAAAGTGCTGTCGGGTTCTTAGCGGCAAATAAAGTGACAGCCTGTCTTCCAACTGGCAGTGTCTTCGACTCAGTGGATGATGGCGGGGCGGCCGCTGTTAACGGGTTAGTGATGGGAGTGCGGGAGGGCCCCTCTCAGTCCCGTGCTTCCCCGGGGAAGGACTCAACGTGGTGGCGTCGGCCTCTTTCCGGAACCTCCCCGCACCTGCTCTCGCCTCTACGAGGCCCCGAGCTCGGTGCCTGTGAGGCCAGAGCCTGCTGACGTCTGTTCTTGTCATGGTTGTCTTTACGGACAGAGCGCTGACGTGGCGATACACACGGGCTTTCCACTTGCGGTCACCGTGGCCCAGGAAGTTCAGTCAGTGAGAGGAGAACGCGTTTGTTTCAAGAAAGGTCTCAAGGACAAACCTGATTAAGCTCACGTTTAGGAAACCAAGCGCATGGCCACACCCACGATTTCATGGCCACAGGCCCTTGACATTGTGCCTCCGCCTCTCATCCCCAGCTGGAGGCACAGGCGTGATGGCGCCCCACCCCCACCCCACATCCTCCCTTCTCAAGTCCATGTGACAAGTGGGAACGAGACTCTCGTGGCGCCTGATCCCATTTACTCTCACGGTGCCACGCCAGGGGGCGGGGAGGCGAGCGAGGGCTAACTGGTCCAGAGTTTCCTTCCAAGTGACGGAAATGTTCTGGAATTAGATAGCGGTGGTTGCACAACGCACTGAGTGCACTGAAAACCCGAGCCACCCGCCTTTAGAAGAGTGAGTTTCAGGCTCTGTGGATTACGCGGCGTTGAAAGCAGCTGAGCAGGAGCCACGCGGAAGGCCAGCAGCCCCGAGGCATGAGCTCCAGCCGGGCCCTGTCCTCAGGGCTCTCCAAACAGGAAGTCACCAGTACAGCTCTGCAAACGACATCAGAGCCACCTCCTCTGCCCAGCGGATTAGGAAGTGACAGCACCGAGTGGCACAGAGCAGGGAATGCCCTGGCACCTGTGACGATGACGTCACACGCTGGGCGCAGGAGCCCGGGGTCTGATTTCTGCTGTCCTTGCCCCCTGACCTCTGGGGACAGTACCCCAGCCCCCAACATCCACGGGGCGGCAGGCGGCCCAGCTCTGCACAAGCGCCATGTCCGTGCCTGTGTCCCCAGGAACAGCGTGATGGGCACGTGGCCCACACTGGCCCGGCTCTCCTCTGGGTCACAAGGACACAAGAGGCGTCCCTCCCCCTTCCACAGGACTCCCCGAGGTGTCAGGGGCCCTGCGTCCTCCTCTGTCCTGCATGAGACACCCAGCTGCAGGGGGACAAGCCGAACAACCCCCATGGAGCCGGCGCACCCCCAAAGAGCGCTCCCTGGGGTCCCGGCGACGGCAAGCCCGGCGCTGCCTGGGGAGGCGGGGGGTCCCAGGGGAAGCACGCAGGGCATGGCCCTCAGAGGCCCCTTCTGTCCTGTCCACGCACATGGCTGGCGGCAGGACTCCCCGGTGCCAGCCCAGCATGATGACCTGTCACAAAAGCACTTGGGGCTCCAGAGAGGCTCGTCCCCAAGAACTTGGACATGAAGTGAGCCCAAGCGCACCGCGAACGGACTGATGGTAGATCAGCTCAAAGGTGGGCAATGTCACCCCAAAAGAGGCAGGATGGCTTGGAGGCATCCTGGGAAGGTTCCAGGGTCCCTGTCATGCCCACAGCCCTTGTCTAGGGCTGTCCCCTACCGGCCGCGGTGGCAGGCATCCCACGGATGGCAGGGACCGCACGCACGGCCACAGACACCTGCTCCTCACTGAACCGGTCTAGTTCCCTCTCTCAGAGACCCCGAGAGCTCGTCCTTCGGTGCCGGTGGCTGGAACCCGAGGTGGGACCGCGGGGCGCACAGCAGGCACACAGTGAGGGCGAGCGCGTGGAGACACATGGACACACGGCGTGTACGCGGGGCCTGGGCCCCATGCAGGCGAGGCCTGGGGGGGGTTCTGCGGCACACCCACGTCCTTCCCCTGGGCGCCCCGGGTGGTTCAGGCCGGCTCAGAGGGTTCTGTCCCTTTCAGCAGCTCTGTGGTTGGCTGGACGATGGTCCCCAAGCACTCAGGTCCTAATCCTCACAACCTGTATGTCACCTTCTGCAGCAAGAGAGACCCTGCGGATGGGGTTAAGTCAAGGATCCGGAGTTGGGGGGAGCCTGGGTCACCGAGGTGGGCCCGAAGTGAGTCACGCATCCTTATGAGGGAAACAGTGACAGATCTCAGCGCAGGTTAGAGGAGACCATGTGCCCTGGCGGCCACACCGCAACTCGGAAGGTCAAGGAGCGGATCCTCCCCCACAGCCTCCACAGGGAGTGCAGCGCGGCCTTGCGGACGCCTGGATTTTGGCCGGAGAAACTGACTCCAGACTTCCGGTGTCCAGAACTGCGACGGAATCTATTTCGGTTCTTTTAAGCCACTGAGTCAGGGTGACTGTGACCTCGGGAACCCCAGGAAACACACACATGTGCCCTGCCCGGGACGACAGCCTGGGTTTGAGTCGGTGACGGCTGGAGAACCGTGCTGGGGGTCAAGGAACCACAGGGAAGAGAGAAGCAGCCACCATAGCCCACGTGTCCCGGTCACCCCGACCCGGGGCCACACCCCCTGAGGTGACCAGCGCCCAGAGCAGGCCGTCCTTGTCCCTCCCAGGCCAGAGCGGGCGTCCCTTGTCCACAAGGGGCCATGTCGTGCAGATTTCCAGCTGGGGGGTGGGGAGGGCGCAGCGGGGAGGGGCACAGCCTCCGCTGCAACCACGCTTGGGAGCAGCCACGGAATGGGGGTGGCTGAGGGTGCCCGCCTGCTAAGCCCTGTTCCTGGGCCCTCCTCGCCCAACCCCGTGCCCGCCACACCACCACGTGCTTCCCACACACGTGCCCTCGAAGGTGGGGAGGGCCATCCAGTGCCCTCGGCAGGAGGTCAGCCGCAGGCGGAGAACAGCCTTCACAGACCGGGGCTGCCACCCCTCATGCCAACACCCACCAAGGGCCTGGCCGGCAGTGTCCTGGGGGTGGGGGGAGGGGGCAGGAGGGGGCGGGGGCTGTGGGTCCTCAGAGGACGTTCAGGCCTGGAATGTCAGGCCTGGAATGTCGGAGCTGAAGGCCGAGGCGGCAAACCTGCCCCAGGTCACCAGTCATGGGCCGTGCAGATTCCAAAGGACCCTGCGCAGCCTTGTCCCCAGGGGCCCCGCAAGCCCTCCGGGCAACGTTCCCTCGCTCGACGACACTCACTGCCCACCTCCCAGGAGCCAGGCCTGCGGGGGGCCCGACCAGTCCTCACATGGCTGCAGGCGACACACACACACAAGCGACTGCCAGTGATGTGGAGAGTGCGGCTCCTGGGCCCCCGGCGCACAAGGAAGTGACGAGCAGCTACGCGGGGGGAAGGCAGCGACACCGTGGCAAGCAGCCGACTGCGGCCTATCCCCGGGCACACGTGGTATGCACTCGCGCCCTCGAAGATCTCTCTCACATGGGCGCGCACCCCTTGAGTCACTCATCACTCCAACTGCCAGGAGTTGCTCACCAACCCCGCCCAGGTGGCTGGGAAGTGACCCAGGGGCGAGCCCTGCCACCCGGTTCTGGAGATGATCGAAGGGGCTCAGGGCCATGGCCAAGGCCTGGCCACAGCACGGCTGCCACACGTGGGGCAGGGCCGCCCTCTGCTCGGCCGCCTGCACACCTGCCCCCCGGCCCCGCCCCTCTGCGCCAGACCTTCACTGTACACAGACGTCCTGTGGCTGGCACGGCCTCACGGACAGCGTGCCCAGGGCCAGGCCCTTTTTCTGGACCCCGGGCTGAGGGCGCCGGAGGGCTTACCCAGGTAGTAGAGGCGGTGGGAGTGGGGGCCGGACTCGTCCGTCTTCTGCACAAACTGGAAGTCATGCGGAGCCTTGTTGACGATGAGGCCCGAGTTCTTGCGGCTGCCGTGGATGATGCTGCGCAGCCCCTCCCACGAGTGCTTCTGCACCCGGAAGTGGGACGCCGGGTCCGCCAGCTCGGCCGCGCCACCCCGCTCGGACGCGGCCGCCCCGGTGGCCATCCTCTCTGTCCCCTCAGAACTCAGCGACAGGCTGTGGGGGGAGAGGATGAGAAGGGGGAATGACACCCACATTTCACCTACAAGCTGCCCCTCCGTCAGTCACTCCTGACCCCCCCTGGCGGCCTCCCAACGGTCCCAGCCCCCCTAAATACGTCCCAAATCATTCTACGTCTTCCGGACGCCACGAGCGCGTCTGAGATCCAAGCTGCTGCCACCTGTGTGAATGATAGCGAGTCTCGCTAACACGCCCCACGTGGCCCCCGCAGATCTGACCCCATCGCTTCAACCTCTTCCTTGGTTTCCTGCAGCCTGGGATGGGGGAGGGGGAGGGGACCAAGTCCTCGTCACAGCCTTCAAGGCTCTCTGTCCTCTGACCCTGCCAGCCCTTCGAACCTCATCCCCTTTTATCAGTTGCCCAAACTGGCCTTCAAACAGGTCATTCCCACCCCAGGACCTTCACACATGCTGTTTCTGCCACCTGAACTGCTTTTCCCCCTCTCTCTGCTTACGCTGAGATCTAACCATATCTCAGTGCAAATATCTGGCGGGGCCTCAGAAACCTTCGATGATCATCTGTGCCAAAGCCACTCTCTCCGTTAGGCGGGTCAACGATGGACATCCCTCGGCCCCTGCCCTCAGAGCGTTTGGCACGATGCTTGTCCGTCGATCGCCTGTCCCAGTCACGGCAGTGTCCCCAGATCCTCAGGAGGCCCCTGGCTCCCAGCGCGCGTTCCACAGAGGGCCGTGGGACGACTGTCTTGCATTAAGCCCTCTGCGAGGCACGCTCACTCACACGCAAGGAACTGACCGTAAAGAATTAATTGGCAACGCTCCTCGCCTGTGCCATCCAGCCTGGGGTCCAGCAGAGGACACCCGTGCCTCACTGGAGAGGCCCAGAGACACAAGCAGCTACGCACAGGTGGTGGGAGAGCCCTGGCCGCACCTCAGGACAGCCCCCCCACCCCAGCAGCTGTGGCCGAGGCCCCCTCCCTCCCTTCTCTCCCCCGGGCTGTTGAGCACATTTCTTGAGCGGACTGGACTAGCCAGGCAAATATTTGCTTTAGGGAAATCTAAACACAGCCACGGTGACCCGGTTCCAGAAGAGCCGGGCTCTCCGGCGAGGCTGCGAGGTGAGCAGGGCGCCTCCCTCTCCTCCGTAGGCACTGAATGGCCTAGGGTCTTGCCGCCGGGACTCCTTGCATTGCGGGATTAGCGGCTTTGCTCCAGGATTAGTGGCTTTCTTTTGCGGGCGGAGCGCAGGGCTCACTGGTCTAAAGTGGGAGTTGCTACCACTAGACAGGGACAGGGACAGCCCAGGCCAAGGTCTTGCCCCTCAACAGCAAGACCCCCCCCCCCCAAGTGCCCATCAGGGGAGAAAGGGCTCCTGTCTCCCGCTCCGAGAGGCAAGAGGACACGCTTCTGAGTGTGGCTTCCGTGAGCCGATTCTCAGTTCCCTTTCCAGCCTGACCCTGTACCAGACAAGAGACGGAAAAGCCCCCTTGCTCCATCCTACCTGACCCAGCCGGGGCTCGGGGGGCAGGGCCGGCCGGCGGTTCCCCCTCCCAGGCTACAGACAGTGCCCTTGGCTCAGCGCCTCCTGTGATGGCTGTGAAGGCACAGGTCGTGGGGCCATCAGAGCTTTCAGGACACTCGGGTCACATAAACCCAAGCCGCAGAAGATGGGAGACCCAGTGAGGGTCACGGGCGGCACGTCCCAGCCCACCGCGGGGCTGGGGTTTACCTCCACGGGGCGGCGCAGGCAGCGTGAGGCAGGGGCCAGGGCCAGGCTGGGCGGCGCGCCCCGGAACCCACGTGGCCCCGCGCTGCTGGCAACGAGCCCAGAAAACCAGGCCAGGGGACTCCTCCGACCAGGCCAGCCCCCACCCCCACCCCCCGAAACCGCTGCCACAATCCAGGCCTAGCTCACTGCGGAGAAATGGAGCGCGACCTCCGGGGCCCTCCAAGGGGACCCCGGAAGCCACGAGCCTGGCGGAAACACTCACAAAACTACGTGGCTAACTTCCACAGTAAGGAACAATAAAAATGATCTTGCCTCCGATCACCGCAGAGCGCCCAGGGAGCAAAAATGTGATCCAGGAGATGAGAAATGAAATGAAACATCGGGAGAAACTTCTAGGAATCTTCTAGAGGTGGCCAGGCGGTCTGAGCTCCCAGACAGGCCAAGGCTCGGTGCTATGACTTGGTCTCCACTCACCTCTCTCTTCCCCAGAAGTGCAGAGAGACTGCAGGGGAGGTGGGGGAAGAGGAGGAACAGGTGAGGGAGGCGCCCTGCTTCCCATCTTCGGCCGGCCTGCACTAAGCTTCTCCAGTGGGGGGTTTACACAGCTGGGGAAACGAAAGTGGATTCTGAGCCACTTAGGCCAGGTCCACCTACGCTTTCCTTCTGCCAATCAGCAGGACACCTCGCACACCACGAGGTCACTGGCAGGCAGCTCGGGGGCTCCGGTGCCATGTCTGCCAAGGCCCGATGGGAGTTCCGTGGCCCATGGGCTCGTGCTCCGAGAGCCAGGACCACCGCCCCCTGGGGCATTGGCCAGAGACCCCAGCAGGGCCTGCGATGAGGGCGGCGGGCAGAGGCGAGAAGGAACTGCAGCTTCTCGATGCCGGCCGACCGCAGAGAGAGAAGGCGGGTGCCAGGGAGGTGAGGGGCGCGGGCCCGCCGTGCTCCGGGGAGGACATGCTGAGCAGGCCTCAGGACACTTGTTGGGGCCCCGCGGGGCGGGAGGGGGGCTCCCCGGAAACAGCGGGCCCTGCTCTGCCCCCCAAGGCCTGCCCCTGGCACCGTGCGGGCCTTCCACTATCACGACCAGCCTTGCACACACTTGGTCTGTGACCGCCGGAGACCTAAGCACGCGAGGAGGGGGCCCCAGTCTCTGTCACTAAGAGACTTCCTAATGTATTTACCACCAGACACCGGGAGCCTGTGTCCAGGGAACAGGTCACAGGGCCCGACATCACCTCCGTCTCCCGGGAGCCCTTTAGTTCCCTTCCTGCTGCCTGAGTGCTCACTGAGCTAAGAGCAAACAAGCCCATGGGGACCGGAAGCGATTCCGAGGCAGGGCCTCTCGCTGGGAGACTTCCCGTGGTCTCCATCTCATGGGTGTGTGGCCCCAGACGTGGGATCCACCGAGTGCCCAGGGCCTCACGTGGCTGGGAAGGAGGCTCAGGAAGGCCCACCGGCCTCCCCAATACCACCCCGGACTGCTGGACCCCAACCCCACCTTCTAACCACCAGGCCAATGGTTCTCAGCTGGGCTGGATCCCACCCCAGGGGACACCGGGCCATGTCTGGGGACATCTGTGGCTGTCACATAGGGGTTCTCCTAGCATCGAGGGGATGGGGGCCTGGGGCACGGCCCCACCCCCCACGGCGCCCGGGACGCGGCCCCACCCCCCACGGCGCCCGGGACACCCCCACAGAGAATGACTCGCCCCATGTGAGCAGTCCCGAGGCTGAGAAGCCGGGCCCTCGCCTACACAGCCGGCCGCCTCCTGCTGAACAGCCCGAATGGAGGCCTGGGGCAACATGGAACGGCAGGGGGCGGCGGGGGTCTTCCCACACCTACAACATCATCAGAAATGTGGGAACCTCTACGACGCCCCCACGGACCAGGGCCCCCGAGGCTAACCCCTTACCTTTTCCAACCTTCTGTGTGGTCGTGGTCCAGCCGGAGCTTCTTAACCTTCCGCATTAACCACTCGGCTGACCTCAGGAGGGTGTGGGGGAGCCTGCGAGCAGAGAGACCCCCGGGCTGCGGCCCCCAGCCGTCTGGGCGTGCCCGCTCGCGGCCCTCGCCTGCCCCCGGCTCCAGGTGGCCCTGCATCACTCTGGGGACACCCAATGCCAAGGGCGTTCCGATGAGGCCCCCCCCGGAAATTCGAGGGGGCGCCTGGCACTTGCCAGGCACCAGCATCTTTTCTGCCCTCCCAAGGTGAGCAGACCCTGAGAAGACGGCAGCTTTAAGTGACACCAAGGACGCCGTCCTCGGTGCTCACCGGAAACCAGAGGGTCCTGGGTCCTCCACTGTGGCCACGCTCTGGTGCCCTTCCCGACCTCCCCTTCTCACCCTCCCACCCCTGACCGTCATCTCCAGCCACGCTGGCCTTACTCTCCCCTACACATGCCGACTCCTTCCCACCCCAGAGCCTTTGCACTTGCCGGTCCCACGGTCCAGAGTGGCCTTCCCTGCTTTCTGTGGGACTCGCCTCTCACCTCTGCAGAGGTCTCCCCGGACACCCAATCCAGAGTCACTGCTCCGTCACCCCCGCACGGCTCCCTGTCCTTCCGTGCAGAGCTAAGTCTGGGGTGGTGGCCCTGGGAACGCCAGGCGAGGTCTGGGGACAGCCGTGCTTGTCACAGCTGGGGGTGCTCCTGGCAGCGAGTGTGCTGAGGCGGAGAAGCTCCGCCTTCTTAATTTGGGGGCAAAGTGAGTAAGATCCTCAGGCCCACAGCAGACACTCGAATAAACCCCTGACGCGTTACACGGTACAAACCAGGGCGAGCCAGCATCTGTGAGGGACCACCCCCTCGCTTCACGAATGTAAATGGTGCGACGTCCTTGGGCCTCAGGAGCTCAAATGATTGTGGAATATAGACTCGCTGTGGGGCCAAGCGCTTCCCCTAACCCAGTGCGTCCTGGCCAGGGTCAATTCTGCCCCCAGGAGCCATCCTTGGTCATCAGGACTGGGAGGCGCTAATCAAACCACCACGCACGGGACGCTCGCCTGCACCCCCACCGCACAGAGGGACGTGGCCCCGAACATCACTCGTCTTGGCAGAGGCTGAGAAGCCCCGCTCCGGGCGAGGGAGCCCCTTCCCTGGGATGTCACTGCAGGGTGACACCTGTCCTGGTCTAGGCCTGGCGCGTGAGGAGGCCTTTTCGGTAGCGGTAACGCCTTCCGGTCCTCCCCCGAACGCTGTCTGAAGTCAAGGGGAGACCCGGTTTGGTCAGCACCCAAACACCTTCCTGGTGAGCCAGGCCCCAGGTGGGTGGGCAGGTGGCCAGAGGCTTCAAGAAAAAGTAAGCGGGGGCCCTTGGGTGGCTCAGCTGGTCGAGTGTCCCACTTCCGCTCAGGTCACCAGCTGGCGGCTCGAGGGTTCGAGTCCCGCCTCCGGCTCGCTGCTGTGGAGCCTGTCAGCACAGAGCCCGTTTTCAATCCTGGCCACCCCCCCCACCCCATCCCGCTTCCTCTGCCGCACTTGCACTTTCCCAGAAATAAACACACATTTGAGAAAAAGAAAGCGGCGCCTGGCCACAGGACCTAGACCATAGGCGAGAGATGAGCCTAAATGTCACTTGTGCGGCCCTGGCCTCGCTCTTAGTCTTGTGGTGAAAAGCGGGGTCGCTGTGGTCAGAGACGCGGTTCAAACCCTGGCACTACAACGTTTAGTCTCTGTGACCTTAAGCAACCGCTCGACCTCTTGTTAAATTGTGCTTCAATTTCCGCAGCCCCAAGATGGGACCGGGCAACCTGCATCTAGGGCTGCTGTGACAATGAAGTAATCAATATAATCCCAGATGCACCAGAACCCACTAGTGTCCACTAGACAAGTTAGGGACAGTCGCACCGGAGGGAGGATGGGACGGAAGCTCCTTCTAGAGCCAGGACTCCCACCGAAGGGTTCAGGGTTCGCAGTGGAGAGGACGCAGCCCCGCCCCTCCGCCCCGCGAGGGCCGTGACCCCAGGGTTGTAGAAAACCACTTCCTGCAGATGTCTACACCCTGGAGCGCGCAAATGAGTCCCACCGGCCCACCCGCCGGCCGTTGCCGCCACCCCACCGCGGGCACAACTAACCTTCTAAAGGGTCCAGAAAGCCTCCATTCCGGCTGCGGGCGTGGGATACAGACCCTGGTGGAACAAACATTAATGCAGCAGGTTCGTGGAGAGCCTGGCCAACAACTAGCTCTCCTTCCACTCGCGAGTCCTGATCCCCCAGCCCGATTCTCTCTACCTGGGCACATTCCAGAGCCACCTCCAGCCCTGCAGCGCCGCCTGCACGCCCTCAACTGCGCGCGGCGGAAAAGACCTCCCCCGTCCCGCCCGCTTGTCCCGGGAAGCAGCCAGGGACTAGAGCACAGCGCACACCTCCGGGGCTTGAGTCCAAGCTCCTGGAAAGCACGTTGGTTCTTGCCACTGGGGCAAGTGACTTCCTCCCGGCGGGGGGTGGGGAGAGCGACAGCGGTGGGGGGGAAACGGAACGGGGCACTTGTGACGGCTCAGCGGCGGCGCGGATGGGGAAGTGTCAAGACTGGTCTAAGGCCGGGTGGGAGGCTGGACAGGGCCGGAAGGGAGGCCGCGAGACGGGGCTGGAACCTGTGGGGGGTGGGGGCTGGGGGAGGCAGGAAGCAGGTCCGGGAGGTGGCCTCGGCTCTCCGCCTGGGAGCGTGTGTTTGCATGGGGAGGGGACCGCCAGAGCCCGCAGGGAAGGAGCGCGTTGTGGGTGCGGCCACCCCCGGAAGGGACCGGAGCCAGGTGGCTTGGACAGCGACGGGACGAGAGGGGAGGCCGGGGCGAGGCCGAGAGGTGGCCCGGCCACCGGAGGAGCAGAGGGGGAAGAAGGGCCGAGGAGGGCCCGGGGAGGAAGGGAACCCGAGGCGGGGGATGTTGGAACCGGGAGCGCGGCCAAAGGCAGGGCCGGGGCGCGGGGAGGCGGGGGCGGAGGGCACCCGAGAGGCCGGCCAATAGCGGGGCCGGGGTCAGGGCTGAGGCGGGGCCGGTCAATGGCGGGTTCGGGGTCGCGGCCGAGGCGGGACGGGGCGCGCGGGCACTGCTCACCGGGCTCGGGGCCGGCGCGGGGCGGCGGCCCGGCTGGGAAGGGCGTCCCGGGGCCGGAGGCGCCTCACACTAGAGGCTCCATGCCCGGGACTGCGGCCCCGGAAGTGGCGGGCGCGGCGGACAGCGGCGGCGGCGGACACGGGGGAGCCGGTGGCTCAGGCCCCTTTGACCCGGAAGTTGAGCGGCCCAAGCGGCGACCTACGATTGGCCGCCGCCGGGACGGTACCAAGGTGGCTGCGGCCCTGGGGGGGACGCGCCCTCCCGATCCCGGGCGGCCAGAGGCTTGGAATTTCCCTCGGCAGCATCTTCCGGTGGGGAGAGTTGCAGGAGACATTGGAGAAAAGCACCCCTGCGTGAGTTGGTATCGCCCAGCCGGACCGACTGCACTTCTACTAATGGCGCTTAGAGAAAGCGATGTTCGCCGGGGCGTTGGTGGTATAGTGGTTAGCATAGCTGCCTTCCAAGCAGTTGACCCGGGTTCGATTCCCGGCCAACGCAAACAACGGCGTTACTTTTCTCTCTTACCGTAGCCCAGTTGAAACAGCGCCAGTAACTGTAAATTCCCTGAACTAGTACTTTTCTTACCCTGAAATGACTTTAAAAACGATGAAATTTAAAAAACCGCGTTCCCCTGTCTCTCGATTAGGGCTTTCAATTCTACACAGAAAAACTCAGGCGTGTTTCCGCCCGGGATCGAACCGGGGACCTTTCGCGTGTGAGGCGAACGTGATAACCGCTACACTACGGAAACCTTTGAGGGGCGGGCCTTCTGGGACGCCTATATAGCGTATGTTTTCGGGGGATTCCCGCGCTTCCGGGCCCGCGCCCCTCCGCTCGCGGCCGCTAAAGGGGGAAGAGGCCCCGGGGCGGGGGCGGGGGGTGTCTCTGAGAAGCGCGCTCCCGACGCACACGCGCGTCTCCGTCGCTCCGTCGTCCACGCAGAGCTAGCTTGTCCGCCTTTGAGACCAGTCTTTCTCTTTTTCTTTCTTTTCTTTTCTTTTTTTTTTTTTAAGAGATAATAGGACAGGAAGGTAATGGCAAGAAATTAGGGTCACATTGCTGTATGCCTCCCCCCAGAAGACCAGGATGAGCGTGAAGAGAACGAGCCAGTGGCCTCGGGTGCGGAAATTGAGGGGGCGCCAAAACACGCAGTCATCAAGATAAATGGTATTTTCATGCAACATACCAAAACACTATGAATGGCATTAGAATTCCATAGTGAACAATGCATGAAAACTGTACATCGAGACAGGTTTGGGCAGCGCTTTGCCAAGCCCCAGTGGAGTCTGAGACCAGAGCAAAAATGTGCATTTGTGAATGGCTCCCCCCTCCCCCCCCCCACCGCCGTATCCGGGAGAAAATAATGAAACTTAAAAGTAAATGTATCACAATTCAAAACCTTAAAAACTTCACCGTAACGTCACTCTCTGCGTTGAATGGAAACAAACGCATCAATATTTTCAGCATCTACTTCAGAGGGAAAATTAACCAACGAGAAGCACGGGAAACACCCGTTGACACATTTTTCTCGATGCCTCAGCGCCCGACACGGCTCGGCAGGGCACTGTCACAGCCATATGTCATGAAGACCTGTATTCCTTTCCTACTGCCGCCGTGACAAAGTGCAACAGACGGTGGCTGGGGGAAAAAAAAAAAACAGAACAAACAAAACCACGGGCGTATTATATACGGCCCTGGAGACAGGAGTACAAACGCTGGTGTGGAGAAGCCAAGCCCAGGTGCGCTCAGGGCTGGCGGCGGGAGGCTCGGAGGGTGGGTCACCCTGCCCTTCCCAGCCCCTGGGGCCACCGCACCCCGGGCTCTGGTCCCTGCGTGTCCCCAGCCTCGGGTTCCGTGGATGCCTCCCTCTGGCACGTGACGTGGGAGGCCCACCCAAATAGCGCAAAATGAGCTCCGCATCTTGAGATCCTTAACTTCCTTGCACAGGTCTCTTGCCACGTGGGAGAGCACGCGCACAGGTCCTGGGGGTAAGATGTGGACTTCGGAGGGCGCATTATTCGTCCCTCACTATAGACACCGTTCGGTAACATCCTTGTTGACGGCAGTATGGTATTTCATCCATTCACTCATTGAACAATGATTTACTGACCACCTACTATGTGAGGGGGGCAGGGCAGAAGTTGCAGGCGCCCCGGGGGTGGTGACAGTGGGCTGATTTGATGGGAACTTAGAACCTCCTCATGCCACCCTGGCCACAGCCTCCACCCCACCTCTCTGGACACCTCCTCCACATCCGCTTCCGTCCCTTCTTGCCCAGGCTGGGCCCTCCAGCCTCCCCGCTCCCCACCTGCCCGCCTCCCAGGCAGCCTCGTCCTATTTTAGGGTTCAAACTCCACGGGGGGCGCATGGGTGGCCCAGTGGGCTAAGTCTCCGACTTCGGCTCAGGTCATGATCTCACGGTTTGTGGGTTCGAGCCCCGCGTCGGGCTCTGTGCTGACAGCTCAGAGCCTGGAGTCTGTTTCAGATTCTGTGTGTGTGTGTCTCTCTCTCTCTGACCCTCCCCTGCTCACGCTGTCTCTCTCCCTCTCTCTCTCTTTCAGAAATAAATAAAACATTAAAAATTTAAAAAAAACCCTCCATCTATGCCTGGTGTGTCCTAACTCCACCCGGGCCTCCCCTCATCTCTAGACTGGGGGTCTGGATGACCATCGATGCCCCCACGCAGAGTGGGGGGGGGGTCAGGGCCATCCCAAACTGTATCATGGCCTCAACTGAGCTCCCTACCTTCCTGGAATCTGCTTGCTGTGCACTGAAACTTTGTGCCCCCCCCCCCAAGTCCTTGTGTTGAAACCTTGGTGGGGGGTTGGGGGGCGGGGCCTCTGGGACAGGATCAGGTCAGGGAGTGCAGCCCCCATGACTGAGATGAGTGCCCAAATGGAGAGACAGCAGAGGGCTCCCTGCCCCCTGCCTGTGAGCACCTGGGGAGAGGGGAGTGTCAATGAACCAGGAAGAGGCCCTCCCCAGACACGGAGCCCGCAGGTACCTTGACCTTGGACTCCCAGCCTCCAGACCCGTGAGCAACTGATGTTAGATGTTTATAAGAAGTAGTCTGTGGTACTTTGCGGTGGCAGCCTGGCCAGACTCAGCCATTGCTCCTTCCTCCCCCCGCCCTTGGCGAGCTGAGAACAGCTCCTGTCTTCCAGATGCTCCCCCAGAACCCGGGGGCTGCTGCCCTGGGCTCCGTTCTGCCCCACCCGCATCCAATCGCCCAACAAATCCAAGTAGGGCAGCTTTCAAATACACCCCAGATCTGATCACTTCTTCCCCACTGGGTGGCCATCAACCTGGTCCCTCTCATCACCGCCCTGTACCGGCTCCCCTCTGGTGCCAAGGCTCCCGCCCTCCCCACCCCCCAGTCCCTCCTCCCTCCAGTGGCCACCAGAGGGCGCCTATAAGACTGACTCAAGGCCCCCTCTCCTCTATCCATAGCTCTCCGGGGCTCCCAACTCCCTGGAGCAGAAGCCCAAGCCTTTCCCACAGTCCACAAGGCCCTGCCTGACCTGTGACAGTCCCCTCCCTGCCATCACTTCTAACCTCTCTCACTCTCTCACTCTCCCTCACTCGGCTCCGGCACTGGCCAAACAGGAGCTGCTCCTCCAACTGCCAGGCAGGGCCCCGCCCCAGGACCTTTGCATGGGCTGTGCCCTCTGGTTTCTCCCAAGTATTTTCAGGACTCATTATCTCTCCTCCTGCAATTCTCGATTTCAATGTTCCCTCCTCAGAGGAGCCTTCCCTGAGCTCCCCCCCCCCCACCTTGGCATCCACAAATTCATTTTCCATCATTTCACCATGTTCTTTCAACGGCTTATCAGTCTCTGAAACAATCCCACTGGTGGATTTGTTTTCTCATCTCTCTTCCATCTCCTCCCCTGAAGTATGGCAGAGTTTGCTTGTTTGTTTGTTTGTTTGTTTGTTTGAATTCTGCTTCTTCCATAAACATTTCTTGAAATTATGAACCAATGAGAGTTGGCCAGAGGAGAAAAGGCCTGGGGGTGGGAATGGAGCAATACAGATGGGCTTCCTGGTGGAGAAGGAGTAGATCAGAAAACAGGTTATCTCCCTATGAGCCCCGTCAAGGCCCTGAGAGCTCATTCATTCGCCTGCCAAACAAAACGACAGAAACTCCCTTAAAATGCGGGGCGCCTGGGTGGCTTAGTCGGTTAAGCGTCCGACTTTCGCTTAGGTCGTGATCTCGCGGTTCGTGGGTTCGAGCCCCGCGTCGGGCTCTGTGCTGACTGCCAGCTCAGAGCCTGGAGCCTGTTTCGGCCTGTGACTCCCTCTCTCTCTGCCCCTCCCCTGCTCACGCCGTGTCTCTCTCTCTCTCTCTCTCTCTCTCTCTCCTAAAAATAAATAAAACATTAAAAAAAAAAAGCCTCCCTTAAAATGATTTCTTGGGTCGTTCAAACGCACTTGGGGCAGCCCTCGTGCTGTGTGACACCAGGAAGCTGCTGCCTCCCTGGCCTGGGACGGCCAGCGAGGTCGTGGGGGGCGGGGGGGCGGTCACCATCTCGGAGGGGCGCCTGGGCTGAGAAGGACGATACTTCCGTCTTGCCAGCAGGTGGCAGCAGGAGCGCGGCCGCCGGCCTCCCTGCAGGGTCCCCGCCTCCCAGCACCGGCCCCTCCCCCCGCCCCCCGCCCACGTCACCCTCCCTCCCAGCCCCCAGCATCTCCGAGTCACACACTCCCCTCCCCCAACACCCCCCCAGCCCTTGCAGGCGTCCCCAAGCGGTTCACCTCTTGGGTGAATCCAGCAGGCGGGATGGCTGGCCGGTTCTACCAGGTGTCTAGCCATTCTCGGGGTTGGAAGGAGGAAGGGGAAAGAAGAAAGAAGGGAAGCCCATCGGGATTCAGTATTTCGGGGCTGGCAGGTTTTGTTGCAAAGGCTAGCTGCATCAGACCCCTTTGGGTGTCCCAGAATAGCACCCATGGAATAATGGAAATACGTGCTGGGGAGCGTACTAAGGAAATGTCACACTATTTATTTTCAAAATTATTTTAAAATGTTTTGTTATTCATATTAAGGAGAGAGAGAGAGAGAGACAGAGTGTGAGCGGGGAAGGGGCAGAGAGTGAGGGAGACGCAGAATCTGAAGCAGCTCCAGGCTCTGTCAGCACAGAGCCCCATGCGGGGCTCGA